CGCCTGGACAACTTGGCGAGACCTCATCACCCTCTACAATAAATAAAAAATGAACCAGGCGTGGTAGCGCGCGCCTGTAGCTCCAGCTACTTGGAGGCGGAAGGATCACCAGAGCCCAGCAGGTCGAGGCTGCGGTGGCAGGGAGCGGCCACTGTACTCCAGTCTGGGCGACGGAGTGAGACTCCAACTCAAAAAAACCCCCCAAAACCAAAAACCAAAACTTTTATAGACTGTTTTGGTTTTTTTGAGTTGGAGTCTCTCACTGTTGCTCAGGTTAGAGTACAGTGGACTGCTCATGGCTACCACAGCCTCCTCAACCTGCTGGGCTCAGGTGATCCTTCTGCCTCAGCCTTCCAAGTAGCTGCAACTACAGGCACATGCCACCATTAAAAAAAATTAAAAAAAAACATTTGTTGTAGAGATGTGGTCTTGCCAAGTTGTCCAGGCTGGTCTTGAACCCCTGGGCTCAGGCAATTCTCTCACTCATGCCTCCCAAAGTGTTGGGATCACAGGCATGAGTCACTGCGCCTGGCTTTAAAATCATTTTGCTATCCACAAAATAACTTGCTGGTATCCTGACTGGGACAATATTGAATCTATAGATCAAATTTAGAACTGGCATGTTAACAAAATTAAGTCTATGAACATCTCAATTTATTTAGTTGTGGTTTGATTTCAGTGTTATAGTTTTCTGCATATAGGTCTTGTAAGTATTTTGTTAGATGTAAGTAGGCTGGGTGTGGTGGCTTGCACCTGTAATCTCAGCACTTTAGGAGGCTTAGGCAGGAGGACTGCTTGACAGTTCAAATTGTACCCCTAAGTGTTTCATTTTTTGAGGCTAATTTAAATGGTACTGCTAATTTAAATTTCAGCTTATTTGAAAACAATTAGCAATTAGCTTTTGTATATTGATTTTTGTATCAAAAATCAATTCCAGAAGTTCCAGAAGTTTTGAGGGGAGAAGGTTGCGGGGAGGGAGTTAATCCCTCTTAGTTCCTTTTTCTTGTCTTATTGTGTCAGCTGAGACTTCTATTACAGTAGTGAAAAGGAGTGATGAGAAGGGTGATCCTCATCTTGTTCCTGACCTCAGCAGGAAAGTTACTAGTTCTTACTGCTAAGTAGCTATAGGCCTAATTTTTTGAGATATTTGCTGGTTTTTAATGTTTTACAGTATCTGCATGCCTTTTGGCATGCGTTTACAGTCTGCAAGGATGTTATTCTCCTTATTTTTTTGTTGTAACTTTTTGGGATGATTTTTTTGATCACCTATTTTTATATGGAATTAGTGATTCTGTACTTTGGAGACATAAATGTATTCTTTTGTATTCTTTTTTGATATGTTTGTAAAACTTTGAAATATGGACACTTTTTCTCTTGGGAGTTAAAGAACAAGTTTTTTTTTTGTCACAATGCTTAATTTAATTCCCCCCCACTCTCCCTCCCATTCCTTTTTGAGTGTCCTGCTCAATTTGGATTCTATAAGTAGTTTCATTGTGGAGTGCTGTCCTGTATAGGCACTTCAGGTTAGAATTAAGTTTAATAGGTCTAGAATGCTTTCGTTCCTTCAGTCCAATTCAAGTATCCTTTGTACTCATTGCAAAGTGCTCCCAGTTTCAGAGGCTGTTCTCAAATTGGCTTGCTGACCTTTCAAGTGAGTACTTGTTATTCTGGAGTTCTGAGATCCACCAGATGTGCCACCGCTTCCTCTGGAACAGACTGTGATACTATGGAGGCCTCTTGGCTATTGGTGGTTCATCTCTACCCACTTTTTGTTTTGGGGCTCCTGGGGATAGCTAGTTTTGTAAAGTTGTTCAAGTTTTCCAGTTTTGCTATCATGACTGTTCTTCTGTGTGCTTTAAGGGGGAATTTAAGAAATAGCCAAAATTATGATTTCAGAATCCCTGTTAGTTTTTTTTAAATGTATAGGGCAGGTAAATGTTATAAGGAACAACAACTCTCTCCTTCAATGCCTGTGCTTTTCTTTCTCTAAGATGTCTCTATAACTGTCAGTTTGGGTCTGCCACTTGGAAGAGAGAAATCTTGAATGAGTTGTATCTCCTGAACTTCAAATTTAAACAACTATAAAATGGGAATACTTACCTTATACATTTGTGAATGAGATAACAGATGACATAAATGGAAGAGCACAGGAAACTGTAAAATGATAAGTGCCACTGTTGTACTGGCTTACGTCTTTAATATTGTTCAGCTTATTTTTTATCAACATCAAAGTACCCAAAAGACACATCCTAGCTCCCAGCAGGTGTTCAGTAAATGACTTGGAATAGAACCTTCCAATTCTGGCAGAAACCAGTCTTATTATCAGAAGCCCTGTACTGGGTCCTAATTTTTCATCTTTAATGTCTTGCATTCTTCACAGAATGAGACCATATAAGATGCTGTACAGGGAACAACTTTTTTTAGAGAGGGCCATGCACACTATTCTCCTACTACCCCAGGCAGAATTATGTTGTTGCTGATGGTAGGTTACCTAGGTATTCCTAGGGCATTTTGGAGGCATCTTTTAAGACAAGCATTTTGTTATGTTTCCAACCTCCTTAAAGTAACTTTCTAACCTCCTTAAAGTAATAGCATCTTCTTTATCTCTGCATTCCTTATGTTTAGCATAATGCAGTCCAATAATTACTCAGTAAATATTTGTCAAATGTTAGAATACGATATTGCAAATCCAATTCATTGGCGAGTCCTGCTGTGTACTTGCAAAATATATTCTGATTCCAACTACTTTTCTTTATTTCCATTATTACCATCTTAATAGAAGCCACCGTTGCATGATTTCCTGCCTGAACAACTGCTATACTATCCAAGAGGATCAAAATAGATTTATTTTTTAAAACCACCCAACCAAGCAAGCATAAATTATACCATGTCACTTCTCAGCTATAATTCTGCAATGACTTCCACAGTGTACTAATAGAATACAGATTCTTTAAATCATACCTGCAAGGCTCTAGATCAGAAAACTACAGCCTGAAGGTCAAATCCAACTTGTCATGTGTTTCTGTAAAGTGTTACTGGAACACAGCTACATCCTATCCATGGCTTTTGTACGACAACATAAGGGTTGAATAGTTAAGTTAGCTTGCAAAACCTAAATATTTACTATCTGGCCCTTCACAGAAAGAGTTTCCAGACCTCCTGTTCTATATAACCTGACTCCTTTCTTCCTCTTACATAATCTTCTAACCCCTCTCCTGGTCCCGCTCATTCACTACAACCCAATCAAGCTATTGCTACCAGAGTTTGCACTACCCAGGAATGGTCTTCACTCATATCACTCCAGAACTGCCTCATTACTGACACCGCAGCTTAAATGTCAATTCCTCAGAGACTCTTCCTGACCAATAATCTAGAGTTATTTTTTTTATTTTTATTTTTTATTTTTGAGTTGGAGTCTCACTCGGTTGCCCAGACTGGAGTGCAGTGGCTGCTCCCGGCCACCGCAGCCTCGACCTGTTGGGCTCCGGCAATCCTTCCGCCTTAGCCTTCCGAGTAGCCGGAATTACAGGCATGCACTACTGCGCCTGGCTGATTTTTTTGATTTATTGTAGAGATGAGGTCTCGCTGCCCAGGCGGGTCTCGAACCCGCAGACTCAGGCAATCCACTCACCTCAGCCTCCCAAAGGCGCGGAATTACAGGCTGAGCCACCGAGCCCGGCTTAGAGTGGCCCTTTCAATCACCTGTCACATGTCTGTTATTAAACAATTAACACGGCAATGATTATTTGAAATTATTTATCAGTTTAGGTCTCTCCCCCACTAAAATGTAAATCCCAGGAGATTAACTCCTTATTAATCCACATATGCCTGGTATTGTTTCTGAAGAAAAAAAGGCCAATAAATAGTTACTGAATGAATGAGGACAAGGCCAGGAACAACAATTCAGTTCAAGGCAGTTTTTTTTAAGTTAGAGTCTCACTTGTTGCCCAGGCTAGAGTGCAGTGGCACACTCATGGTCACCCCAGCATCGACCTGCTGGGCTCTGGCAATCCTTCCGCTTCAGCCTTGCAAGTAGCCGGAACAACAGGTACGTGCTACCAAACCCGGCTAATTTTTAAATTAGGTCTCACCATGTTGCCCGGGCTGGTCTCAAGCCCCTGGGCTCAGGCAATCCTCTCGTCTTGGCCTCCCAAAGTGCTGGGATTTACAGGCTGAGCCATTGAAACCAGCCAAGGCAGTTTTTAACACTCACGTTCCATTGCTGCAGATTTGCTGTAACAGTGACCTGATCTCAATCATAAAAGACAGAAGGAATATTAATCAATATTCTGGCCCCAGGGTCAGGTGCAGGGGCTCACGCATTTTATCCAGCACTTTGGGAGGCCAAGGTGAGAGGATTGCCCGAGCCCAGGGGTTTGAGACCAGCCTGGGCAACTTAGCAAGACCTCATCTCCACAATAAATCAAAAAATTAGCTGGGTGTGGTGGCACGCACCTCTAGTTCTGAGCCCAGCAGGTTGAGGCTGTCGTGACCGTGAGCGTGCCACTGCACTCCATCCAGCCTGGGTGACAGAGTGACTCCAACTCAAAAAAAAAAACACAAAAAACTTGACCCCATTACGGACAAAACAACTCCACTATGAGCATTCTTCTGAACGTAGGTCCATTTTGCTTTTTTTTTTTGACTTGGAGTCTCTCTGTGGCCTAGGCTAGAGTGCAATAATGGCACAATCATGGCTGCTGCGGCCTCAACCTGCTGGGCTCAGGCAGTCCTTCTGCCTCAGCCTTCCAAGTAGCTGGGACTACAGGTGTGTGCTACCACATCTGGCTAACTTTTTGATTTATTGTAGAGATGAGGTCTTGCCATGTTGCCCAGGCTGCTGGTCTTGAACTCCTGGGCTCAGGCAATCCTCTTGCCTCAGCTTCCCAAAGTGTTGGGATTACAGGTGTGAGCCACCATGCCTGGCCATTTTGCTCTCTTTAGGTAAAGGTAGTATTAGGAAAACCAGGCAAGGTAAGGTCACAGAATTGGACAAAGAATTTCTCAACTTAATGATTATTATGGTTAAGAATTTTATTATCAAAATTATTACATCTCTTGTGAAAGTTCAAATGTTACAGCAAGGTGTAAACACTCCACTTGAGAAAGAAGTGATACTTCTTTCCTTCCAAGAGTTCCCCCCACCCCCCCACCCCCCCCCAGAGGTCTGGTCTTGACAGCACCCTGCCCACACAGAGTGGCTGGGGTCTCTGCACGTGCCAGGCAGGGTGAGGGCCGCCTGCCTGCTGGCCTCTCCCCTTGGTTAACAGCCAAGAGGAGAATGCAAACCCCAGCCCAAATGGAGAGACATTTACATACGTTTTATATAATATACAAAGAAACCAGCATCCCAGGCAACATGATTTCCACTCCCAACGCTCTCCCAGACTGATGGGTTTGTGGGGGAAATAACAAAAAGAAAAGTACTCTGCTGAGGTCTCAGCATTAAAAAAAAAAAAAATCTCCCCTCATTTGAGCAAACACCTGATTTCCATTTTGAAAAGTGAAATTTTGTAACAGTCACACACAAAAGAGAGAAGACTGTGCATATGATAGTTGTAGGACAGAGTAGAAAAGAAGGGGATGCAAGAGGCTAGAGGGAAAAAAAGGAGAAGACAAATTAGAGGGAAGGCGGGAGACTCACAGTATTATCTTGTCCAAAAGAAAAGAAGGTCCACTGCAGCACCAGGGATTACACCTGTCGTATATTCACTACCCCTACCATGGTTATAACTGAATACAAAATTAGATAAATAAAAACACGCCAGATATTACAGTAAACAAGTGAAAGAAATAAGCTGGCAACCGTATGGAATTTAAAAAGATTGTGTACCCCACCTGGGCTGGCTCCAGGGCTCCTCCAGGGGTGTACAACAGGCACAATGCACTGATGGGGAGAAGCCAGTCTGTTCTCATCTTTCATCCAGAACAGTGTTAGGGGTGTGGGTGGCTTGGTAACTCTCTCACTGGGCCCACTCTCACAGAAGCATCCCCTAAAGAAACGTGGGGCAGGCCCACACACAATCACAGTCCTGTCGGTGCCACTCCACAAACCTATCTTCCCACTCTTACCCTGCAGTCACGAGTGCATGCTCCCCAATCATGGAGGCGGTCCTACTAATAGGATCGTCAACCCCTGATTAATTGGGAGCAGATCAATAAAATTCAAAGCATTCCCAAACCACGTGGTATCCTTCCAAATCAAATTTATTGCCAAAGGCTGATAAATAGCAATGCAATTGGCCTATCTCACTTCTCATTCCTCTTTTCTTTGTCTACTTACTTCATGGGTCACTGAGCTGTGGAATAGCTTGCGAAGGGGGAGTGGGATGGTAACAGCTGGGGGCTCAGACAGTCTACTCAACTAACTTGCTCCTGAATAATCAAGAGCTGACCATGAGCTCTTCTTCAAAGAGCCAGGCATCCCTCAGTCAGAGCATGTTCCAAGCTTTACTATCCCTTCCTATTTCTCGGTGATTTTTTAAGACAAAAGTAGGGCGTATTCTTGGTGGACAAACCTTGGCCATATACCTGCTTTTGGAATGGTTGTCTTAGGGTGAAGACTTACATACCTACCTTTTTCCTTAAGTGCACAAAACCCTAACATTACTCAGATGGCTTGGGGCTTTGAGATTGGCTCTTTTATTTTTTCCTTTGAAAAAAAAAAAAAAAACAACTTTTCTTTTTTTTAAATTTAAAAAGATGTCCTCACTGCACAAGTGACTACAGGCTACAGGCAAGGATGGGAGACGGAGGCTTCAACACAACTCATTGCACTTAGAACCATTACTAACCGAAACACCATTTGCTTGTCAACAATGTACCCTTCACAGCAGGGAGAAACTTCTTTATAGTCTCTGCTTCAGACAAGATTTACATCTTTCTCCAAGGCCAGAGGCCAATCACAACCACAAGTCTTATTTCTTGTCCACCAGACCCAATCCTCTGGCACCGTGTACCCCCCCTTCCCCAGCAATATGCTCGGCCTAGGTTCCAGAGGCAGCTGGAAGGAAGCAGCTATGGGCTCATTCAGTTCTGTTTGCCCAAATCCAGAAGCCCTAGGAAAGTCCTGTCTGAGTCTTGACTCCTGACCCTTGCAACGGCTGGAGTCGGTACTGGTGCACACTCCCACTCCCACGGTGTGGGTAGTGCTGTGAATTGGAAACCGCAGATACCCTGGAGGCCTGGTAGGCAGCTGACTGCCCAGCAGTGGGCAGACTGATAGTCCGTAAGTCTGATGGCAATGACGACCTAGAGTTCTGAGGAAAGGAGGTGGAACTCAGAGTTCCTGTGCTGGACTGAGAAACCGAGTCTGAGGTTGGCGAGTCTGAGGGTCCCTGCAGGGTAGGGCTAGCAGCACTAGAAGGGCAGCTCCTCCTTGGAAGATTGCTGCCAGTGCTGTTTCCAGAATGTGGCTGGCTGCTATAATACCCTGGTGTCCCCGCAAATGGGGCCAACGAGTCTGTGGACACAGGGTGGGCGGGGCTGGAATAGGATGTGGAAGAGAGGGATGATTCTGAAGAACCGTGAGAGGGGGGATTTCCAGGTCTCAGTGCAGTAGTTCGATAACTGTATCCTGGAGATTGAGTGGGATGTCCTCTAAAGGGGGAGGAACTCTGCTGAAGGAGGCTTTGTGATTCTGTCCGTGGACTATCACACTGCAGGAGCTAGAAAGAATTGGGAGGAAAAGCATAAGGAGGTGAACAAGTCCCTTAAATGGTTTGCGAATATTTATAATATCCTTTTTCTTTCTTCTTCATCTTTTTAACCATTTGTTATTTTTAAGAGTAAAAAGGCAGTAATAGCTGTCTTTGATCACTTTCTTTATTTTCCAGCATAATTTATTACCTGAGGGTGAAAAAGTGATGACTTACTTCCAAGGCTGCTGAAATATATGCAAAGACAGCATCTCAACTGCAAAGGAAGGCCAGGATCACAAGATATTTGGAACCTAGAACACACTCCTATGTCGAGATCAGCAATATCTCATCTCACCTGGTAACTATATCTGGAAGGGCTGTAAACAGTTGCTCCTTTAGAGAGTGTTGAGCCCAATGTCTCTGGACCTTCTCCATCTGCAGGGTCTGGAAGGTAATACAAAAAAAAATCACCTTGGCTTCTTAGAGTAAGTGAGAAACAGCCACTGCTCATTCAAATCACCAATGCCATCACCAACCCATGCTGCTCTCTTTGTGACAGATTGGATGAGTGCAGCATGCCAGAAGGGCAAAAGGAGTGGTTAATTATGGGCTGTGTTTTAAATGCCTGATCTGATTCCTGTCTCCTTCCTTCTCTTCATCCTTCAGCGAGGTGGATTTCCAGGACTTTGGAGAGATGAGAGTTACAGAAAGGTATCCCTTGGGAAAAAAGAGCAGACAGAGAGCAAGCAATGCTAGATCTCACAAATGTAGCAGCCCAAAAGGGTAAGACTGGACTGGAATCTAGCATATGGCAGAGCCCAACTGTATCAGAAACGGACTCACCTCATCCCAGCATTTGGTTTGAACTGTGCAGAGCCTGCCTCATGTGTCCCTGAACCTGGCTGACAGTAGGCCACAGGCTCACCTGAGTCTTTCTCTGTGATGTTACTCTCCCATGTGGGGGAGGGCTCTCCCTTTTGGGCTGCCCTCACACTGCTTCGGAGAACCTTGGGGATGCTCCCGCCTTCTCGGAGTCGTTCTACTGACGTGGGAACCATCCTATAAAGGCAACAGGGTACACGTTTAAATCATAAAACTCATGAGTCAAGTGTCTGAAATAAATGAAGCCCCGAGAAAGCTGTTCAATGTATTTCCTTAAAATATCCTCTTACACATTACTTTCTTCAGAACCAATTTAAAATAAAGTTTTTCTTCTGCCTCAAACTGTTTTGGGCACAAAAGAAAAGGAACACTTTTAGATAAAATCAAGGAAAAAGTGGATTGAAGATGTCAATTTCCTTTAATCCTCATTTTGAAATGTTAAATTTTTTTCTCTGTAAAATTATGTGTGATACACAATAGTAGTTTAATAAAGGCTTCACAGATTAATGGACATTAATAATTCGAACTATGTCTCCTCTTTCCCAAACTCATTTCTTCAGTTCAAGATCCCTGAACTCCAAGCTTCTGTCTCTGTTTCACTAATTTTATACTCAGTACTTGCTACCAACCGGTATTTTTCATTTTTAAATCTGTGGTCCCCCTAAATCAGATAGTCCTTTCAGAATGTCTTATCACTCTGTATCGCTAGCTATGTAGAACAGAGACATCTGCTGTTAATTCAAGTGGAACTTGGCTGGACTCTTGACTTACCTTTCATGAGAAATGAGAAACCAAAATAGGCAGTGTTAGTGCCCACCAAATAAAATAGCTCATCTGCATCCACAACTACATGTCATCCAAAGTGCTGTTCTGCAGGCTTGTTAGTAATTCTTTACTTCTGTAAGGCTGAGTTGCAGCTGACAATATTAAATCAGCTAAACAGGACAGATGGCACTGTTGCCTAGCTCCCTCAGATAAAGTGTTCCCATACGTTTTAGGTGAAATTGGGAATGATTCTAGATATATACTTCCCTTCTGAGTTCAACTACAAAGCATCAGATACAAACTTACCATCTACTGCTGATATTCTCTTGAGGTCTGCAGTGAGATGAAGAAGTGCCTCTGGAATCTGATGGGCTTACCGCCTCCAAATGGGACAGAGAGGAATGAGATGGGGAGAATTTTTTGTGAGGGGAAGATGGGGTTCGGGCTGAGGATCCCTGCACACCATGGGCACCAGTGTCAGAAACAGAGTTACTGCTGCCTTGCCCAGCTCCTGCAGACTTGCTTTTGCTCTGTGCAGAGTCACCTCCCCCACCAGCAGAATTTTCCTTGGCTTCTTGTTTCCGTTTTCGGTATTCCAGCAGGGATACCTAGACAGGAAAAAAGAACAGTCTTAGCACAGCTATATATTTTTGCCAATCAGAAGCTGGTAAGGGAAAGAGAATAAACTAGGTGACATTATTGAAGAACGGTGTTCACCAAGTAGATCATAACCTTTTTCTGCCTTCAGAAAAACCCTTCCAGTTGTCATTATCAAGTAACAGAAGTGTGCTAGCATAGTTATTCCAACAATGGGGCACCTAGAGAAGGAAAAGCAAAGAACTGGAAGCTTGTGGAGTTTGAAAAAGCCTCCCAGGTGATCCTGATGACTTTTCTGCACTCCTTAGAGAAATCCAATGCCCTGGGGTTCTTATGCATATTCAATTTCAAGATATGCATAGGAATTTATCACTGTTGCTTACACACAAGGAAATTAATGTAAAGGGATAAAAAATTATTGTCAGTTTATCTTTTACACAAGCTAGCAACAGAAAACCTCTACTTTGGATCTTCTCTCCCACTCCCCCTCTGTCTGCCTAACCCTTACTGATTCTGTCCTGATTGCCACAACAGACCTCTCTTTCCTGCCTTGCCCAGTGCCCCGCCTCTTTGATGTTATAACAGTATCAGCACACTTTGCTGATACTGGCTATAGAACCTATTACAGTGTCTTGCTTGTTCCCTGAACCAGAAGTTCTATGAGGGCAAAGACCAAGTTTATCTGGCTTTTTAAATCTTCTAACATTCAGCATATAACCTGACATACTGCAGGTGCCCAATAAATTTCAGAAATGCTTCTGAAATAACAAGCCATGATTTCAATAACTTCTGAACATAATAAATAAAATCAGAAATCCAAAGATTGTTTCCGTGCTTGTGACAGTCAATGCTATTTATGCAACAGACTTTGCAACCCATTATTATCTTACTCCAAATTATCTGCCAGTGTTTCCCCCACCTCTATTCCGTTAGAGCTCTCATTTTTTTGTCCAAATGTAAAACAACAGAAATATGAAAAGGTAATTCTTTTTTTTTTTTTTTTTTTTTTGAGTAGTGGAGTCTCACTCTGTTGCCCAGACTGGAGTGCAGTGGCTGCTCCCGGCCACCGCAGCCTCGACCTGCTGGGCTCCAGCAATCCTTCCACCACAGCCTTCCAAGTAGCCAGAATTACAGGCATGCGCTCTCACGCCTGGCTGATTTTTTGATTTATCGAAGAGATGAGGTCTCGCTGCCCAGGCGGGTCTTGAACCCGCGGGCTCAGGCAATCCACTCACCTCAGCCTCCCAAAGGCGCGGGATTACAGGCTGAGCCACTGAGCCTGGCTGAAAAGGTAATTCTGTACATGTATTTTCTATACATAATCTTGGAAATAAGTTAATAAATTCTGATAATGCGTTTCACATTTAAATGAGGACACTATAGATATACCGTCTTTACATGAGACCCACACACACAGGACATTTAGCAACCCTGGCTCTGCCCAATAAATTCAAGTCACTGTAACAACCTCAATACTGCACGAATTACCAAATGTTTCTCGTTGAGAACCACTGATACAAAATGCACATTTTAGGCTTTATAACTTCTAGATCAAGTATTACTTAAAAGTGGAGTCACAGCCTGTTAGGAAGCTCTCCATGGCTTGGCCCTACCCATTTCCCTCTGCACTTTCCTTCTGGCTCTCTCTGCCTTCCACTGAACACAACAACATTCAACTGTTTGTACCACATTGCATGCCTGCTGCGGCCCAGTGGAGTGTAGCATATTTACTTGTTCTGCTCCTTCTGCTGTAACATACTTCACTCTCATTTGCTGGCTGGTTGACTCCTACTTCTTTTTGAGATTCAGCTAAATTGGTAATCTGCCACCTCTCCACCCTGATTTCCCAAAGTGGCAAAAGGTCTTGTTTGTTCTCCAAGTACCCCCTACATATCTGACTAGCACAGATTCCTCTGTTAAGATGTTAATTTGGCCGTTGCTTTGTTATGGCTCTTTGAGCTATGGCCACCATGTTTTCTTAGCTTTGGCCCCTCCCCTACCTCAGGGAGGTGAATTCCCCCCCCCATTTACTTTCTAAATAGACTTTGCTTGAAAGCTTAAAAAAAATGCTCTCTCACCACATTTGAGCAACACCTTTGGAGCATCCCTCAGCACTGCAAGTAATTGCTCCCTTAGGGTAGAACCTAGGAGGTAATACAGCATGGTGGCAGTAACAGCATGCAACACTCGTTGTGATCATGGGCAAATTTCTCAACTTAGTTTCATTTCCAAAATGGAAAATTACTTATCTTATGGATTACTGTCAGCATAAATGAATTAGAAGAGCTTAACATAATGCCCAGAACCTGGAAAGTGCTAAATAACAAGTAATTATTATTCTTTTCCACTGCTCTAACCTCTGAATTGCCTACCAAGTATACGGCACATGCAGGCATCTACATTTGCCAAATATCTACCATCAAATTGTATTAAAACAGTTTTTCACTTGACATGACAGAGACTATGTGTTACTTGTCTAAGGACAGTGCTATACAGTAGCAGGAACTTAGTAAATGGCTACTGAATTATTTAGTTTATTTTCTTCAAAAGTGGGCCTATGTAACGTGATACACTTACCTTTTTCCTCTGTGGTGGGTTCTGGGGGGCAGATGGGACTCCTTCACAGGCCCTTTCACCACCAGGTGACATGGATCCACGACAGAGGTCTTTTATAAAGCCATGTTCATATCTGCTGGAAAATCCTTCTGCAGGAGAACAATAGCCCCCATCCAAATGTAAAGGCTTCCTATCCCCCACTAGGGGAGACCCTCGATATAATCCATCTGCTCGAGGCATAGCATTCAAAGGGGAGTAGGCATACATTAAGTTGAACTCTGTCCGAAATGCCTGGTCTGAGTTTCTCATGAGGGTCTGATGTCCATCTCCACTCCTGCTTGGGAAACCAGTCTCTGAAGTGGATCCGATGGAGGAATGAGGAGCCAGGTCAGAAGGACCTGAGTTGAGCAGGGAAGGTCTATCAGTACAGCTGTTAGTGTTGGAGTCAAGATATCCCACTTTTGTCAAATCCAGGTCTTTTCGGTGACAAAGCTGGAAGAATAAAAATCAACAGAGACGTGGGGCAGGGGAGAAAGGAAAGAGTAAAAGGGTAGAAAGGCGGGGAGGTGAGAGGAACACAAGAGAACAAGGAAAGATAAGAGGGATGGAAGCAGAGGAGAGAAAGCCGTTATCATCTGTAAAAGTCCTATGCAACAACAGTGTATATAGGTCAGAGCACTAAAGAATCCTGGCCTTTCCCAAATTGCATTCAAGACTTTCTGGATGGGAATACTGGAAAAGTCAGACTTAGGTAACTGGCCAAATGCGACTATTTTCCTGCGTAGTCTTTCATCAGTTTGATGAGTTACCTTGCACTACACACTAAGGGACAAGTGGTATAATTAGAAATTTACCTGAGCCCCATGCATATTATAGAGATGAGACTGGTGTCTTAAGATAACTGACTTCTGGTGTTATTCATTTCTAAATATTGATGGAAGGTGGGGGAAGGGAAAAAGGTGGAGGAAAGAAGGTAGACGGAAAGGCAGGTATTTAAGTTACTGGTTCAGTAAAGGAGGATGGCATTAAAGACATCAACCAACCAGTTCTTCACTCACTTTCACTGTTAAGTAGGTGTTTCTCATACAACTTTCTGGCCACTCAATTCTTCTTTATCCTCTACTGTATGTCAACATACCATATGACCACTAATGCTCATCACTGCAGAGACTCTGAAATGCTGAAATGTACCAAAAATAAACCCCACCTACTATTCGGTTATTATAACCTCCTAACACCAAGATTTTCCATCACTAGGTCAACTATAGCTAACTCTCTATGAAGACTAGTACCCAGGTACCACACCATGTCAGTCTCCAAATTATGTTATCTTAGAATCTTTAACACCCAAGGAGAGAGAGCTTTACTATCCTAACAAGATAGTCAAAACAACCCCCAAATCTCTAGTATAATAGTAGAATACAACCTTTTCAGTTTCGCGTTGACTTATCAACTCCTACTGATTCAAAATTTGGTAAACTATCATTTAGCTTAGCCCTAGTTTTTTATTGGAAAGGGGTGGGGTAACAGTTCAGTTAAATATGTCTGAGAGCCTATATACCTTTCTCTTCAAAAGAAAAAAGGTAGATTCACAAAGTTAATCATTACTACATACATCCAAAGCTTGTAACAGAAACTCGAGCACTAAAATCGGAATTTAATATCTCCATAGCTGTAGGTTTTCTGAGAAGCACTCAACTGATATCTTCAGACATTTCACTTTATAGCAACCAAATTCTAATCATTGCAGAATGGTGGCCTGTGACACAAAGTCTGTAACTGACTTCATTTCCTTGTACATCCCGTAAGGAGCTACAGAGAAAATGTAGGAAAGCTGAGAGACAGAAACTTTCCCTTTCTAAAGAAGCTGCCCATTCTATCAACCAAAGTCCAAAACATCTGGTTACACAGAGCTGTCAGATTAACCCTAGAACAAGGCATAAATCACTGCCCAACTTTTTCAATATAAGATGCTCCTGGATTAGCCCAAGATAATAAAGGTCAAAAGACAGCCCCTACCAACTTTTGATTCAACTTTCCTTATTTGTTAACAAACAGACCTTATTTATAACTTTAACAAGGCTCCTACCACATATTCAGCATCCTTTAAACTTGACTTCTAGATTCTATTCTTCTTTAATAGAACTTCAGCCACCCCCTCCCCCAAACAACAACAAAAACCAGCCCCAACACACAAACACACACACTCACACATAGCTACTTCGTTTTCCTCCATCTACATTGACAGTCCTGAGTAGTCACAGTCATACAGGAAGACTCATTCAACTTACTGTGACTGATCGGCCACCCTCCAGCCCAACACCCCACTCACTCGGATTCCCAGCCCTCCCCACACACTCAGATACACACACATGCACACTCACTCTCAGCCTCCAAGTGTGATTGAGATGGTGTGATAACTACCTCGGGTGACAGGGACTCGGGCCTATGCGCAGGGGAACTCTCAGGGGAGGATATGTTCTAGAGGAGGGAAAAGCATCTTGTTATTCATCTACTCGAAGTCAAGAAGCAAAACAAAACAAAAAATAAAAGCAAGCATAGATGTTAGCCACAACTTTTTTTGGGGGGTGGGGGCGGGTGGGAGAGTTGGACAAGAATGCACAGGGGAAATGCTTAACTGCAGAACTCATCTCAATGGACAGAATGAGTTGTTAAAATGCTTCCTGGTGTCTTTGAAAGCATTTGAGGATAAACTGGTTATAATGTTTCATGCTATAAGTAAACATCTCAAGCACATATCAGGAAAGAGTTAGATTGGTGAAATTTTACAGTGTTATACTTATTTGTACTTTATATGCAACCTACAATATTTGTTATCGAGGGGTACCCTACCCCCTACTGCTCCTCAGATGAACCTTGCTCTTTTACTCCTTACCTCCTCTGATCGTCATATTTCCTTGTTTTTTAATATGTCTCAGGCCCCCCACTGCTCTCCAAGGGAACACCTTAGCATGCTGGGGGGCTGAAAAGGCTAAGGAGATGGCCAGTTATAGGGAATATGTTTGACAGAATCCCTAGTTCGCAGGCTAGATATGTTTCTTGGCATAATTTTATTGGACCCGAACACCCTACCAATGTTCTTTTAAAAATTCCATTACACTTTTTGAAACACAACAACAAAACAAAACAAAACAAAACAAAAAAGAACCTAAGTATACACTTGAAATCCCTGTGTTCTATAAAGGGGAGGACTTCACCTTGGAGCTTCCACCTGAGGCAGCACTCCCATAACAAAAAGGGACTGGACAGTGAGCACTTGATGGAAAGATGAAATGAGAACAAGTAGAAAGAGTGATGGTGGTATTGTGATAAGGATTCACGGTGCCAGAACTGAGGAAAGGGAAGAGTTCCTAATGTTGTTGACTCTAGACAACGGTGACCTGGGTGGCAGGCCTGTGCTGTGTGGTAGGGGAAATGAAGCTGCTGTCAGCCAAGTGGGGTTTTGGCTGTGAAGTTTATTCAGGGGGAGGGTGGATGGTGTACATGTATGTGCATATGTGTGAAATGGAGAGTGAAGAGAATGGGAGGGTTATTCTGGTGAAAAAGAGGCTAAGCTTGCCCTCCCAATGCTGCTTTCACTCTTATTTCTAGATGCTTTCCCCTCCTGAAGATCTTATTCTCTTCTACTGTTTATCCTCTCACCTCCTTTCCTTAGTATTAAAGGTATCTCATCTTTTCCTGAATGCTTTTTTTCTTTTCAAAAATATCCTTCCCCAAACTAAGCTGATCTTTACTTGTGACACTTTTTTGACATTTCTCAATGTGCCATAGTCTTTAATAGAATAAAGGCTCCTCACCTCTCTATATGGGAGTATAGGAAAGAGTATGGCCACTAGAACGGTGACAAGAATGGGTCAGGTGGTAAAGCTTTTTTTTTAACTGTCAAGAAAAGCTAAACTTCCTTACTTAAATCAGAAGTTTACAATAATAGAACCATGCACTGGATTTTTTGTTATTGAATATATATAATATTTTCTTTCTCTCCTGGTAGTCTATCATTATGATGCTTGAACTATGCATCACTAAAATGATCACTGATTTTTTTTTGTTTAAAACAATAAAAATACTTTGTATCTGCATAGTGCTTCATAGTTATCCAAAATGCCACAGGGAAAGGGAATGCACTGAGTTCTAAACCTGTTTGGTTTTGAAGGTGACTTACCTTCTAATTTTTGAAATTCCAGATTTATAATAAAGCCTGTATTGACAAAGTATAAAACTCAAATCCTATGATTGAATGCCCTCCAGGAAGAATTCCTCTCACAGTATCTCACAATAAATCTCTAGTTGCTAACTGAAAAGTCAATTTCAAACAGACAAAGTCAAGTTAGAAAGGCCTGGATTAGCTGTTTTACTATCTGGCTAAAAGAGTGCCATAGGAAATTTGGCAAAGAGTAACTTTCCTAGAGAAAAATCACATGTAACCAGCAAGTTTTTTTTTCTACCCCAAAGAAAGTCTGCTCCAAAAGTTAATATGGTCTAGAGTTAGAAAGATACAGAATATAGCTCTGCTTTAAAGGTGGCTAGTCATCTCTTTCTGAGTTATTCATATAAAATCCAGGTATTTTTAATTCTCACATTCTCACAAAAGCTGAATGGGAAAAATGAGATTGGTTAGAACATTCCTCTGTAGAAGTGCAAGGTAAGGGCAGAGCTGAGTCTGTTTAGTGGACAGAACAAATTTTTTTGAGAAGAGATAATATCTGTTTAATTTAATTATAAATCAAAGCAACATGCAATAGATGAGTTTTTTCAAATTTCCTGTCACTCAAACCCGCATACTAATGATTCAGAATTAGTTTCTGAAACAGCTGAGGCAGACAATTCTAACTTAATCCAATGAGTAAATGTAATAAATCTGTCTCTTATAAACACATATTGCTAGTCTGTTGTGTACTTCTTATTCCTAACACATTATAACAAGGAGGGAAAGTAACCTGCAGAGGAAAAAACCCTGCAATCGCCATAAGCCATAATCCAATGCTTTCTAAATCTCTGGTCACTTAGGCAACAATGAAAATACTAAACAACCTGGGAAAGACACTTCACTTATTCAAAGGTCTAGAAACGGAGACACAATCAGTATAATCCGAGCTCTAAGGCTGGTGTTACTAACAGATACTACAGGCAGCTACAGGCCTATTCTGAACAAGGTACATATTAAAGATATAGATAGAGATCTAGCATGCTATCTAAAAATGGAGACTGATGGATTGCATGCAAAAGAAAGATGAATGGGATCTTTGGTAGCACTGTCCCTATTTTGGGAAATACAGGGGCTGCCAAGATGAGAGGCTACAAGGTAACAGGTCGCAATGACCCTGAGGTTTCCCATTCTCTTGATGAGATGGGGAAGGAAGATAGTGAAGAAATATCTGGAATGGTATTACACTTGAAATGAGAAGGTACAAATGATGATTTTCATATCTAGCACTCCCAACAACCAAACCCAAATCACCTCAAATTGCAGAGGAGTGTTGCATCGACTAGCAGTAGTAAGAGATGTGATTGGTGAAAACATGAGGCTATATCCATTTCGACATTCCTCTTCTCCTGGGTGTGATGGGCCAGATGTAGCCAGCTGGGGGCTCTTTGAGCCTGAATTGGGAAGGGGTGGCGTGACAGGAGACAAAGGCCGAAGTAACTTGGTAACATTCTGCTCCATCAGATAGCGAGACTTCCATTTCTTTAATGGACTCAACAAGTCTGTGAAATACAAAGCTTGGATGAGAGTTTGAAACCACAGGTTAATGGGAGGTTTTGTAGTAAAGCCATTAATTTCTAACCTACAATAGCTCTTAACTCCTCTTTTGGCTTATCCCATTAAGTTATCTTCTCCAATCAAACCAAAAGCCCCCCCAAAACTCTAATAACCACAAATAAAATAATTCTAAAAACATTCTATCTGCCAGAGAAACTCCATATGAATCTAACAATTCTAACGACTAATCCCTGGAGCTAATTTAATCTCTACCAATGAAAAATATAAATTTCTTTCTTTTAAATTTAGTTTCTGAAAATCTTAAGTCTTTGCTACTTTGTTTAAAAAAAAAAAACACCACTCTCTACTAAACTGCCACATCACCAACCTAAGCTACTGGGATGGTACAATCCATATGCCTTTAACCTTTTCTTACATATTTGTGCCCCATTTCAATTCTTTCTATAGTGTTCTTACTGGTCATAATATTTCTGATCCATACCTAATCCCTAGTGTTAGAGTGCTGAAAAGTGTGAAATGATTTCTACAAAAACGTTTCCCAACCATTAAAAACAAACAAGCAAAAAACTAGGCTGATGTTCTTTTCCTAGTTACAATAGTACTTTCTATACTTATTAGACTTATTTTAAAAGCCAGTAATTATACTATGTATTTTAGTGACCATTCAGGCAAAACATCTTTCTCACATTCACAAAGTTAATTCCAAAGGTTTGGTGGAAGAAGTGACATTTATCCCACACCTTCAAAGAAAGTCTTGGGTCAGTAGGTCACGATCAGACATATGTTTTAGGAAGATTAATCTGGAAGCAATGGTTAGTGTGAGATTGGTAACTAGGAAATTATTTGGAGTTAATCAAGTAGTTAACATAAAGAGTTACCAGGTACCAAACTAACATAGTACATATTTAAATGAAGATGAAAGAATAAATGCAAAATATACTGAAGATGCGTATTTCCTTTCTGATAGCTCAGAATTTAAAGTTTTCCTAGATTGTAAGTACAATCATATTTTCCTCTTGTTCTAGACACTAGATTTTCTTTCCTCCTTTTGAAAAGTGTCCAACTATAAAAAACAAACAAATATGTAATTCACAGCTTATATTCACAATAACGTATATCTATTTCCAGGGTCTTAATAAATCTCTTAGAAGACCTCTATACTGCTAGGTCCAATACTGTAAAGTCAACTATGTAGAGATTAAGTTCTCTGTAAAGAGTTATAAAATATACATGAAAATTGACATCTGCATATCAATGTTCATGGCAGTGAGTACTTATGATGATACAGCATCCAAAGAGATCTAATGCCTGCCCCTATGACGTTTAAAGACTTATTTTATTTTATTTTATTTTATTTTTAAGAGACAGGACCTTGCTATGTCCCCCATGCTGGAGTGCAGTGGTACCTTCATAGCACACTGTAAATCCTGGGCTCAAGTGATCCTCCTGCCTCAGTAGAAGCAGCTGAGATTACAGGTGTGCTCCACCACACCCAGCTAATCTTTTACAGAGATAGGGTTGAGTTGCTCAGATTGGTCCTACATTTTTTCTATTTATTTATTCTTTGCATAATTTTCTTATTTTATGTGGTCAAATAATCCATCTTCTACTGTTTTTTTAAAAAACACATACAATTTGAAAATGTTATCTACAAATGAATGTATGCTTATATCCTTCTTGGTGTATCTTTATAAAGATGTTTTGCCCTGGCTGGAAGTGGTGGCTCACACCTATAATATCAGCACTTTGGGAAGCTGAGGTGAGAGGACTGCCTGAGCCCACGGGTTCAAGATCAGCCTAGGCAACTTGGTAAGACCTCATCTCTACAATAAATCAAAAAATTAGCTGGGCATGGTGGTGCGTGCCTGTAGTTCCAGTTACTTGTAAGGCTGAAGCAGAAGGATCACTGGAGCCCAGCAGGTCGAGGCTACAGTGGCTGTGAGTGTGCCACTGTACCCCAGCCTGGGTGATAGAATGATGCTCCAACTCAAAAAAAAAAAACAGGATGTTTGCCTTGATGTGGCCTTACTGATCCTTCGACAAAAAAGTTACAGATATATTTTTCCAGTTTGTTCTTTGTCTTTCAATTTTGTTTACAAGTCTTTGCTATAAAACTATGTTTTACATAGTCAAATGGGTCAATCATTGCCTTTATCTTATGCCTCTGAGATCAAGTCTTTGCTAATCCACCCTAAGACTACAAAAATCCCAGTCTATTTTCCCTTTATCTCTTAAATTTTTTTTTTTGAGTTGGAGTCTCACTCTGTTGCCCAGGTTGGAAACGTAGTGGTATGCTCAAGGCCACCGCAGCTACAACCTGCTGGGCTCAGATGATCCCTTTGCCTCAGCCTTCCAAGTAGGTAGAAGTTTTGTTTTTGTTACCACTGGAACCATAGGTGCACGCCACCATGCTGGGCTAATTTTTTGTTTTATTGTAGAGATGAGGTCTTGCCAAGTTGGCCAGGCATGGTCTTGAATCCCTGGACTCAGGCAATCCTCTCACCTCCGGCTACCAAAGTGCTGGGATTACAGGTGTGAGCCACTGTGCCTGGCTTATCTCTATGTTTAACTTTTTAATTTACATTTTTCTTTTCCCTTTTTTTGGAGTCAGAGTCTCCCTCTGTCGCCCAGACTGGAGTGTAGTGGTACGATCATGGCTCATCGCAGCCTTGACCTGCTCGGCTCAAGTGATCCTTCTGCCCCAGCCTCCTAAATAGCTAAGACTATAGGCTCATGACACTATGCCTGAGTAATTTTAGTATTTTGGGTAGACACAAGGTCTCACTATGCTGTTCAGGCTGGTATTGAACTCCTGGGGTCAAGTGAATCTTCCGCCTTGGCCTCCCAAAATGCTGGGATTACAGATATAAGCTACCAAGCCGAATCTAATTCATGTTTTAACTCAAAAAGAACATACTTCAGTGTAAGGCAGCAAACAATCTACTCTTTTCCCATGAAAAATAGCAAGCACCTTCTTCCCAAAATCTATTGTAACTGTTATTATAAATCTATTATATTTCCTTATTAACTTGAAGAATCATACTTATTCAATCTGAGAGAGCTGGGAATTATACTACTGCACTCCGGCATGGATAAGAGAGCAAGAATGTGAGATACAAAAACAAAAACAAAACAAAACAAAACAACCTAGGATTTTAATTGGTGTTATAAAATTCAGGAGTAACTGGAGGAAAATTCTCACTCAGATCCATGGCATAATCTTTCAGTTATTCAAGTCTAGACTTATGTCCCTCTTCATCTAGATATGCTACACTTCTACCTGTGTTCTCTAGTTTTTGTTACCACTGTGAATAAAACATATTGTTCCCTTTACATTACTGTTATATACATAAGAAAATGGTTACATATTTATTTTGTATCCAGTTTCCCTATTAATCTCTACCAATTTTTCAGTTAATTCTTTTGGCTTTTCAGGGTAGATGATCATATTATTTGTACATAATAACACATAAACCCTCTTTACCAGTACTTTTATCTCTTGATTTTGGGGGTGGAGGGTATAAATCACTTTGGTCAACAATTCCAGAATATGTTAAATAATAATGGTCATAGTGGGATAATTTGATAATCCATCTAATGAACAATTTTTTAGATAGATTTTTGCTAAAATCATAAGTATTTTATTATTAAGGTTATAAAAGTAACTTTGCTATTACTTCTCTACCCCATTATACCTGTTAACAAATGTTTTACTAAATTTTCAAGTATTAAATCACTCTTACATTCATAGGAGAAATATTAATTGATTATTGTATATTATTCTCTTAATATTCTTACAAATTCAAGGTAGTAATTAAGATCACAAATCTAATTCAAAAGTGGTACTTTGCTGTTTTTGGAGAGATTAACTTGATAAAATGAATCAAGAATAAAATTTTTGGCCATGTACAGTGGCTCATGTCTGTAATGCCACTACTGTGAGAGACCAAAGAGCGAGGATCACTTGAGGTGACTGTTTGAGATCAGCCTGATAAACAGAGTGAGAGCTCATCTCTACCAAAAAAAAAAAAAAAAATCTTAGGTGTAGTGGCACAGGACTGTAATCCCAGCTACTTGGGAGGATGAGGTGGAAGGATCACTGGAGTTTAGGAGTTCAAGGCCGAAGTAAGCTACCGCAATCCAGCCTGGACAATAGAATGAGACTCTTCTCAAAAATAAGAAAAGTTAAAAAAAAAAAAAAAGTTAATGGATAGTATATATGATTCCTTCAAAAGTATAAGCACAAAGCAGATAAAAATTACAAATTCCACCATTACTTTATGGGTTAGAATTCAGGTTCTCTCTCTCTCTCTCTCTCTCTCTCTCTCTCTCTCTCTCTCACACACACACACACACACACACACAAAACTGCAATTGCTAGTAAGTATGAATAATATCTCTGCACATAAATTTTGGTTTCCATACCTATTTCTGTAGACTAGCTACCTAGAAGAACAACTATTAGGTTAAGTATTATTATATTTTTAGAGCACCATGATAAATCTTATCAAATTGCTAGTAGAGATAATAGTTTCCTGCTAGTTTTATTGCAAATCCTTTCCTGAATATATCAATCTTCCATTAATTAAGAGATAATATAGACACAGAAACACGATTAATATAGTTTGAATTTTTAAAAAGTACTTGAATATGCCTAGAATTTTTCTTTGGCAAAGAAGCTAATTAATTCCTTTTTTAATTCTTACTTTTAAGACAGGGTCTTGTTTTGTTGCCCAGGCTGGACTTGAACTCCTGGGCTCAAGTGATCTTTCCACCTCAGCCTCCAAAGTAGACAGGATTTACAGGCACACACCACTATGCCTAGCTAGGATCTAATTCCTTTTTAATCCCCCAAGTAAGTAAAAATTCCAGAGTAATATGCCAAGTCCTTTATATTAAGGCCTGTTATTGGCTATTTTATTCCATAGACACATCTATTCTTATATCAGTTTAATTACTAGCTTCATATTAGAGGCCAGTTTTACACTTCTAGGAAGAGTACTTTGACATTACTTCGATTTTTTCTTATTTTTAACGTAAACTTCAAATCATCTAATTAAACTCTCAACAAGCTAGTTTCATGGAAACTATATGAAGTCAGAGAGAGGGAGGGAGATCACGCCAGAGTGTGAGCAATATATATTTTTTCTTTCCATTAAGGGATTTACAATTTTTCTCCATATGTTCACACTTTAAAAATATTTCTCAGTAATAGTTTGCTTTACACATTTGACTAAGGTTACTCCTTGGCAGTTTCTTAATTTGGTTAAGTTTGGGAACAAAAATTTTTTTTATCATTTATTCTCTTCGTGTATAAATAGTAAAACTTTTGTATATTTATCTTCTATTCAGTGATTTTATTCAACTCTTATTAACTCTAATTTTTTTAGTTGATTATTTAGGCTCTCCTAGGAATATATGCACATCATTTATAAATAATGAACATTATGCCCCTGTCCCACTTTAGTAGCAATATCTTTTATTTCTATACAATTGTAGCTATTTAGAATCTTTTTTTTGGGGGGGAGGGGGCAGAGTCAGTCTCTCTCACTCACTCTGTTGCCCAGGCTGGCAATGCAGATGCACGATCATGGCCACTGCAGCCTCAACCTGCTGGACTCAGGCAATCTTTCTGCCTTAGCTTCCCCAGTAGCTGGGACTACAGAGGTACACCATGACCGGCTAATATTTTTTATTTATTGTAGAGACAAAGTCTTGCCATCTTGCTCAGGCTGTTCTCTAACTCCTGGGCAAACCTCTCACCTTCACCTCCCAAAATGCTGGGATTACAGGCATGAGCCAATGTGTCCACCTAGAATCTTTAATGTAGCTAGTAATGAATACTTCACAAGAAAGATTAACCTATAGAGAATAATAATAGTAATAATTCCTATTACAGGTCTGATACCGCACTAAGCACTTTATATACACTATTCAATCTCATGTTAGTAGGTATTACTATTCCCATTTTACACATGAGGCTGAGAGACATTAAGTAACATTATATAGCTAGTGAAGGCTAGAGTTGGCCTTCAAATGGAGGATTGTTTGATATTTTTCTACTATATCAATCTGTTTCTCTTTCTTAATTAATGTCTCCTTGGTATTCTTGAAAAAAACAAAAGAAAATCAACAAACAAAAAAAATTCTTCGGGATTTGCACTAACTTGTTGCAATATGTATTGCTCATTTGACTACTACTTAATTTTTTAAAGTTAAATATTTTCCTTCTGTTTATACAGAAGCTCAAAAAAGGCTGGTGCCTAACAGCCCTAATTCCATTCCAACTAGGTCACATAGTAACAAAGGCATTTTCCCTATAAGCCTTTTCTAACCAGGACATGAACTGCTATACAATCTATTTTCAACATTAAATACAAACATACATTAGCATATACACACAAACAATAGTCTATCTCAACTCTTATATTCTCACTATACCTTGGAAGTTGCTAATAAATTAGTAATATTAATGGAAATCTGGCATCAGGATTTCTTTATCTTAATCTTGTTTGACTATATCTCCCTAATATTTGATGACTACCATAAGAAAATATTTTACTTTTTGAGTTGGGGTCTCACTCTGTTGCCCAGGATAGAGTGCAGTGGCACACTCATGGCCACTGCAGCCTTGACCTGCTGGGCTCAGGTGACCCTTCTGCTTCAGCCTTCCAAGTAGCTGGAACTACAGGTGTGTGTCACCACACCTGGCTATTTTTTATTTTAACTGTAGAGATGAGATCTCGCCATGTTGCCCAGGTTGGTCTTGAACCCGTGGGCTCAAGCAATCCTCTCACCTCCAACTCCCAAAGTGCTGGGATACAGGTGTGAGCCACCATGCCCAGCTAAGAAAATATTTTAAATAACTGTTATCATTTATCTTTCAGATAAATGGAATTTTTATTATCCTGGGGTTCAACATATGTTAACTTATAAGTTATAATCCAATGTAGAGATAGAAGAATAAGCTAAGTCAATAATTTTTACAAATGGTAACCCATTTTTTTCTAAATAAAATCAGAACTTTAAGAAAAAGCAGATATTACTAGTAAAAAAATTTAATTAAATTCAAGATCATATTTACTCAGCAAGTTGATAAACAAACAGAAAAAAAGTTGTTTTTATGAAAACCTGAAATACAGTCTTACAGGAGTTGTAGTATCTATTTTGGTCTTTTATTTTGATGACATAATATTTAAAAATTCAGTTTAGAAATAAACATATGCAAACCACAGAAACTTTTTCATTTAAGCTGATATTTGCAGGACAAACTTTGATAAAAGGACTGTTCCAAAATAAGTTAAGATGGCATCATAAGTTAATGCACCAAGGCTTTAAATTAGATCCCCTGCAAAAGAATAAAAAATTTTTATTTTTACAAACTTTTACTTTTACATTCAAGTGGTACACGTGGAGGTTTGTTTCATAGTTATATTTTGAGACGATGAGGTTTGGGCTTCTAAAGCCACTGTTAAAAACCAACGGATTTTTCAGTCATCCAGTTTAAAACTGTAAAAGGACCTTAAACTGCATTAAAAGTCATGTCTTTAAAAAAAATTTTACAATTGTGCAAATGCTTTTGAAAACAATTGATCATAACTTATTTAATTAACCCCTGCCTCCCAACCATGCCCCACCCAACTAAATCACTTAAATTTTTAATTCTTTACTGAATATTAGTGTTTCACCACTTTCTTGCCTTTGCCCCCCTCTTATACATATGGTTATAGATTTCCTAAACTTACTACTTTAAATGTATCTAACCTTTTTTATAACCATTTCTGCTGTTATCTGTACACTGTCTAGTTCCTTCTTTGTCGTCCTGGGAAAACTCCCTGACTTGAGATCTCTCTCTTCCTCTGTAAAGACAGATGTAACGCAACTATTTAGAGAACACACTACTTCTTTTTTGTATGAGAAGTATTCAAACTGAAATTTTTTATGTGGACCTAAAACAATCACTAGTCATGTATTCAAAATGATTTTAGATACATACCCACATTATCTTTGCAGATACTAGAAGAGCTACTATTCTCATTACTTTGGTATAGGTGCTGAGTTCTAGTCTCTTGGGGTGCAGATGATGTCTGAGTCATCCCTTCTTCCAAGGCTTGTTTTATCCAGCGCTATAATGGAGCAAGAACCAGGTCATTGCCAGTAATCATTAAAACTATTTAGTACACCTATTTTAAATGCACATTAACTGATGAGAGATGCAATCCAACACACTCATTCAGTTCCACAGTCAATCATTTTATTGTTTTGTGTTTCAGCATGCTGGAATACTGCCCCATCAATTGTTCTAACAGGTAAAATGAAAATAATATGGATTATACAAAATGAAATCCCATCAAAAAACCAAAACCAATAAAAAATGACTACCATTCAACTTTTCATTCTGCTTAAGATAGGGTAAATGGGAAGAGATAAGGAAGATATTTTAACATTTATTTAAGGCAGACTCTGGTCATACATAATAAAACTAATGTATAAAATAAGTCCCTAAAAGGAAGATAAAGACCTCTTTAGAGTTATCTGTCCTATGCTGAAGACATCTAAAAAGGTAATAAAAAAGACTCACAGGAAGATTTTGGATGAGACTTAATAGTTCTATACTACAGGTACCAAAAGATCTACTCTTAAATAGGAATAAGCTATATCCTCCCTCCCCAACAAGTAGTTGGGATAAATTATGCACAAACAATGCAAATCATAGAATGACCTTCTGAAGAAATAAAAAGATGGGAAGATTACTCTAATCGGTCACACTTTTTGATAGAAAAGATTAGACTCTAATGAGAAATAAACTTATGCCAGACAGTAAGCCTGCAACACTTACGGTAACAAGATTATATAACCCGTGGAAGAGAGAAAATGTCTCACCTATAATTGTGTTCTCTTAAGATACACAGTTGTATGTTGCTCACAACTCTGTGGCTCTCTTGCCCTAACATAAGACACATCGAATTTTGATAAAATTTCTGAGCCAGACCCTCCCCCAAATAGGAAGAGCAAAGGTGAATTTTTATACTTTCACACCTTGACAAACATGTATTATAGGTAAGTAAATATTCTCTTCACCAAAGAGAGCAATTCTAATGGATTTTCCCTCTTAGAAATTTAGCAAATAATCCAGGAAGATTTTACCAAGAAAAATCTTGTATCATGTAAATGTCATTGGGGCCTACCAAATGAAAGCAAAACTAAAACTGTAAACATTTGGAGGTTTTAAGAGTGAGCGAGTATAAAAAGTAGAGACCTCAATGGTAATCTGAATCACAGCCACATCTTAGGCTATGATAGGTCTCTGAAAAGCCAAAAAAAGACCACTCATGAACTCTCTGATACAGAACACTGATTGTCAGAACCATAAATAGATCCTTAGAGCTTAATGGAGAACCTAGACATCTTGTTCAAGATCACTTATTTTATAAATGGGGAAAATTAGGCCCAGGAGTGAAAATCTTCTGTTATAGTTGCCTTTACTATAATTTCCTTTCAGAACACATGACAGAACTCATTTTGTGTCACTGAGCTTTCTCTGTGAATAATTTTGTGTATTTCCAGCGTCAAGTAGATTTGTCTAAAAAAGAATATAAAGTCTAGATCTGATTACTATAAAAAGGGAACCATAAAACCAGAACAGGAGCATTCTAGAAATAAGATGCTGTTACAGTTGGCTATAACGTTAAACACAGCAAACATAGTCAAACCTTTTCCTCCTGCTCCTGTTGTAGATGTTTTAATATTTTAGGACTCTAGCCCCTGTCCCAGCTTGCCCACAACTTCTTCCTTCTCTAAAACTGTGCATCACAGTGAATTGCAAAAAGATTTTAGGAGGCCCAAAGATGGCTGCAGGAAATGTTTTATTAAAGAGTCCCATAATTATGAAGAAGGAGCAAGGAAGTAACACAACACAGGTTTTGAAATCCAAAAGTCTTGAAAAAACTTTGCTGTGTCACTTATTAGTTGCCTCACTTCGGGCTAATTACCAAACAAATCTTTCTGAAGCTAGTTTCTGAATGTGTGAACCAAGCCCCCAAATCCTAACTTCCTGAAAGTTAAGTGAGATAATACATGTGAAGAAAGCAGCACAATATGAGGCAAAAAGCAGATTTTCAATGAGTTCTCTCTCTCTGTCACCCAGGCTAGAGTGCAGTGCCCTGCTCACGGCTACCGCAGCCTTGACTGGCTGGGCTCAGGCAATCTTTCCGCCTCAGCCTTTCAAGTAGCTGGAACTACAGGTATGTGCCACCATACCCGGTTAATATTTTTATTTTTACTGTACAGACAAGGTCTTGCCAAGTTGCCTAGCCTGGTATCGAATCCCTGAGCTCAGGCAATCCTCTTGCCCCCACTTCTCAAAGTGCTGGGATTATAGGTGTGAGCCATCACACCTGAACTTTAGTGAGTTCTTGTTCAACTAAATATCAATGTTATGTTTAGAGATATGCACATTAATAATCTTCCAGTGTATAAAATAAAATACCAATGCAATGCAAAGTACTGTGTTATCAGTCAGGTTGGGTTTCTAAGAAACCTGAGCAACTAAATGCCCTATATACAGTGTCTAGAAGGTGAGTTTAGAGACAAGGTGAAACACGACAGAAATCCTTGTTGGTCACTTATTAATGCTTTTATTCTAAAATAATAACTGAAATAAGACCTAAAAAAAGATATACCATAAAGTTCTTTTTAAGAACTATGACTCAATTTTAATTTAGAAATTCCAGGGATATCACAAAATGTCCTGTTAAGTACTCTAAGAACGTGAGCACAAATATACAGAAAGAACTTTAATTTGTCTTATACTTTTTTTAACTTATGACATCTTTACTCCCTTTAATGAGATATAAAATAGCAAATCTATTAGGAATATACACACTTCTAACTAATCCCACAGAGGCTGGTTTTTCTCACCTATCTGCTTAACTTATACTCTGAGGGATTTTCAGAATTTTATCACAATTTTGTTTAATCATGGAACTGTTCTTAAGTCCTGCATTAGATGAATCCTTTCTAGCCAATCTAAAGATAACTCTTCCCCATTTCAAAAAGCAGAGTTCAATTCTAGCAAAAAGATTCAATTTCATTTTATTTTTCCCCATAAAAAGCTGCATGCTTGTTCTATAATGTAATCTTGATATGTTTACAGCAAATATTAAAGCAATGATTTAAACATAAACAATTTTTAAAGTAAATATCTAGTTTAAGTAAGTCTTGCTATGATAATCCCGTCAGTATATGTAGTATAAATGCTTTCTAAAGACTGATCTTGACACATATGTTTGAGTGACACAAGTATTTGAGTGGAGCCTATATAAAACAAGATTTAAGGATAGTCAGATACATTTGGATAATATAACACAGACTTGAGTAAAACAGAATTTCCATCTCTTGCCAGTGGAAATACAAGGACAAGCTAAGATACGATGAGCTACAGAAACAATTACTAAAGAATACCAGGTAAAACAATACTCAAATAAATAAATGGATTTTCTACCAGATCTGAAGTCAAATTTTTGGTTGTCACAGGTCATTACTAGTTGGAAAAACAAGATGGGAACAGAAAGATTGTAACCCAGCATCAGAACTGTCAAAATGGCTAGTCCATATTATTTACAACCCAGACTTCATTATTTGTCTATTACTATTACTATTACTATTTGTCTAATAACTATCTATTATTCTTAAAGAACCAAAATAGGAGATTCCATTATCTGGCTTGACAGCATGCTTCAACAGTTAACATCCTTAGAAATTTAGCAAGGATTACTGTTTCCAGTCAAATGCAGAACAAAAGAAAAAAAGCTTCTATCATATCTATTAAGTCATCTCTCGGCTCGCTCCTCCTTTAGACTAGAGAGCATGTCTATACCCTTTCTAATTCTGACATTACTCACAATGTAGTTAAGATTTTGAGCTGTTACTCTTAGAGAGACTGTGCAATGCCAAACATAAGAGGAATATCTCCAGGCATGGTGGCTCACGCCTGTAATCCCAGCACTTAGGGAGGTAGAAGCAGGAGGATTGCCTGAGCCCAGGGGTTCCAGACCAGCCTGGGCAACTTGGTGAGACCTCGTCTCTACAATAAATACAAAATTAGCCAGGTGTGGTGGTGTGCACCTGTAGTTCCAGCTATTTGGGAGGCTGAAGCAGAAGGATCACCTGAGCCCTGCAGCCTGAGGCTGCGGTGGCCATAAGCATGCCACTGCATTCCAGCCTAGGTTAAAGAATAAGACTCTGATTCAAAACCAAAAAGGAAAAAAGAGTATCAGTCCTCAGTTTTGCACACAATACCAGAATATAGTTCTCCAGTTATTACATAAGGCTAATCATAATTTTTACTACATGGGAAATAAGTATTATTCTTCTCAGATAACTCTAAGACAAACTAGACTTTTTTTTTTTTTTTTTTTTTGAGTTAGTGATCCTCCTGCCTCAAGCTTCCAAGTATCTGGAACTACAGGCATATATCATCATGCTCGGATAGGTTCGTTGTTGTTGTTTTAATGGTAGAGAAGAAGTCTGGCCAAGTTGCCTAGGCTGATCTTGAAGACCTAGGTTCAGGCAATCCTCTTGCATGGGCCTCCTAAAGTGTTAGGATTATAGGCATGAGCCACCATGCCCGGCTACAAACTAGTCATTCTAAGTATAAGAAAGTATCCCCAGAAACTCAACTCTCCTTCATTACTTAGGCAAACTTCCTTAAGAAAAGTTTTCAGAATTTTTCTAGTCCTATTTTTAAGGAAGTTGTCATTGCTTTTATTTCTGATACCTGAAAGTTACTCAAGTTACTACATCATCACAACCCTGTTTGGCAGGTCAAATTTCTCTTTGGGATTTATTCTACTTGGGAGTTTCCCTGAATAAACCAATGAGTGACTCAAATACTTGGGTAAGATGTGCAATCAGGAAAAGACTTTCTGCAGTGTACTACTCATTCAGTAGTAGTGCCCTCTGCATTTGCTGATTCCGCTGCCCTCCTCCCCTCCATATCCCACACCACTTTGGCTCATCTTTCGTGTCCCTACCCCCCAAGGGAAAATTGCTGTTCTTCAGGGAAGAAAAAACTTTAAGTTTGGAGGAGTCAGGGAAGACCTGCCTGGAGCTGGAGACTTCATCACATCAAATAATCTACATGCAGCATCCTCATGTACGTGATGCCAGTGGAGGAGGGCAATGGCAGAAGAGACACTGAGGAAGGCAGCCTGAATCCAGATCTGAGGATAAGAGAAAAGGGTGTTCCAGGGAACGACTCTACCTCAAAGTAAGACCAAATGAAAGGGTGTTCTATACATCTAGAAACACGGAAATGACATTATAAACTTGAGGGACTGATCTATTCCTAAGAGACACCTTTGGAAAATATGTAGAGCTTCTACCAATTAAGACCATACCAAAAACAACCAACCACCAGGTGCTACTGCCACTAGATCCAAAAACAGTAAGTAACTAGAAACAGGAGAGGCAGAGAGAGAGAGAGAGAGAGAGAGAGAGGGAGTGAGTCTTTTACAGGAGGCTCTGTATTCTCTAGGGAATAAATAGTCCAACCTGACATTTGACCAAGGAACAGAAATTATGACAATAACACTAGTATTCTTCCTCGAATTTCCTTCAAGCGGTAATAGTGACTTAAATGAACTCAAAACACAGCTTGATCATCATTTTTTATTTAGGCAACAGTGCTCTAGAGAACCCGGGACCCAATCTAACACAATAATTACAAATTAACATGTTAACCAATACCACAAGAGCACACACAAAATATATCCATCCCTACTCCGTCATCAACTGTTATGTGCTCTCACTCAGGAACCTCAAGGGTTCTCAGAAGAGCCAACAGTGAACAATCACAAATTTGAGCACCAAAAATGCAGTATACATATATCCCACCTTAGTCCCACTGACTCTTGATGCATCAGTATTCATGGTTGAACAACAAACTCATTATAAACTCACATGGACAGAGTGGCTATCTAAAATATTAAATATGTCATAATTATAAGCATCTCAGGTAAACACACACACACACACACACACACACACACACACACACACACACACACACACACACATACCTTCTTACAGGAGCTGAATGTGCCATCAAGCAGAAGGGGCCTTCGACGCCTCTCAGGAATAAAGGGTGAGCCAAAGCGAATGTAGTGTTTGGGGGTGGTGCAAATTAACGGGGAATGAATAAGACCCGGTAACATGTTTAGAGTTGTTGCCAGTACAGTTGGGTCCGTGGTGATACGTAAAGGGCACTCAACAGGGCACTCCTGCTTCTCTGCTTTATCATTCAACCATTCTGTAACTAGATACTAAGGTAGAAAAGAGATTGTTAGTTGATTTGGCAGATGTATAATATCACCGAGAGCAGTGCAATTCACAAAGACAAACCTCATCTAGAAACTAAGACAGAGGGAGATGCAGCAGCTGCAGTGAGTATGAACTGGGCAATCAGAATGCAAAGATATCTTCCTTTACCTTCTCCATGCCCACTAAGAGAGTGATAATTTCAGCTATCAGTGACTTAAGCTCTGTTTAAAAATAAGGGAACAAAAGGTAGAAGAATGGCTTTGGCTTTCTGTGTCAAAGCATCTAGAACTTTCAATGTAATAATATTGAAATTAGTTTTTTTCTGGGGATTACAGGCTCTCTCATTTTACTAAGACTAGACTTACAAAGATGTATTTGTGACTTACCTTTTTGGTTTTGGGGTATTTAGACGTGGCACGGTTGACATGGGATCCAGTAACTGATACTACAGTTGGGTCAGACCCCGTTAATTGCCTGTTTTCTCCCGAACTGTCTATACTTCCAGCTTCAGTAGGAGTTACTGAGCTGTTATTTCCTCCCTCTTCCAAGGCAGCTTGTGACAACTCTGCCTGCTGTGCACTGGCCTGCTTCTGACGCTTTAGTCTTTGGGCTGAACTGGTCCTGTACCGAGAAATTCGACTTTTCGGTCGGGGCCTAGAAGGCTTTGCTGGAGGTGGTTTGGGGATTGTTTTTTCTGCAGCAATATCCTGTAATAATAGTAAGGTCAAGCGCTTACCAGAAATTTCTTAATAACAAACATTCTATTCAATTTCCTATTCACTTTAAGCATTCAAATATCTCCCGTTGAAAAATGTAAAAATTTAGTACTAACTTAAAATGTAATCTTTGAATACAAAAATTTATACATTTAAATTAGCTAAAGATGCAGTAAGGCAGACGTCTGGATTAACTATTTCTGTTTCTAAAAAGTATTTATAAAATAGGCCAATATAAATGGGTCTAATTAAATTGTTAATGGCCTTACATATTGTGATGTGATACAGAGCTGAAAATACTGATATTAAGCATTCCAAGAATAGGTAGTTGACACTAGCAAATTCCTGGAGTCTTTTCATCTCTTACCCCTGCTTGAGAAGACCTCCGGGTGTTCACACCAACACTTTGTGGGGTACTTGGGATGGCAACGTTTGAAGCAGAGTTGCTAACTTCAGATTCAGAAACTTCAGTTTTTGTCTCTTCTCCAACAGGAGTCTCTGAGGTGGTGGTAGTAATCTCTATGTCAGAGTTGCTCTGTTCTAAGGGCTGATCTCTTCTCTTCTTTCTTTTCTCTAAGTTTTCAAAAGCATGCATGATGGCTTCTACCTTCCTATCTTCCCGGGTCTAGAAAGAAATAGCATCAGCATAGAAGGAAACTTCAACAAGGTGGAGGGAACAGTCTTTTCAGAAGTATTGGTTTTTTTTGTTGTTGTTGTTCTTTTTTGAGTAGGAGTCTCAGCATGCTCACGGCCACCGCAGCCTTCTAAGAAGCTGGAACTACAAGAGCGTACCACCATGCCCGGGTAATTTTTCTTAATTTACTGTAGAGATGAGGTCTCACCAAGTTGCTCAGACTGGTCTCGAACCCCTGGACTCAGACAATCCTCTTGCCTCAGTCTCCTAAAGTGCTGGAATTACAGGCTTGAGCCACCATGCCTGGCCAGAAGTATTGTTAAAGAAAATTTATAGAAACTAACTTAACTATCATTAAGATGACATATATAACTTGGAGAATATAAAAACTAAAAATAGGCCAGGTATGGTGGCTCCCGCCCATAATCCCAGCACTTTGGGAGGCAGAGGCAAGAGGACTGTCTGAGTCCACAGGTTCGAGACCAGCCTAGGCAACATGATGAGATCTCATCTCTACAATAAATAAATAAATCAAATTAGCCAGACGTGGCAGTGCACATCTGTAGATCCAACTACTTGGAGGGCTGAAATGGAAGGATTGCCTGAGCCCAGCAGGTAGAGGGTATGATGGCCGTGAATGTGCCACTGCACTCCAACCTAGCTGACAGAGTGAGACTCTGACTCAAAAAACTAAAAATAAAATGTTTAACTTAAATGTTGGAAACAGTTGCCAAAGAAGGCATGGTCAAATAAAGTTTTCAAAAAGGGTCATTTATTTTGAAACTTTACTATGTAAAATAAAAATAGTCATTAAGACCAATTTTTCTTGCATTTTCAGAGTTCCAGAATAACTAAGATTTTTGTTAAACTTCTTTTCAGGGTCATAAAAAAAACATAATTAGTTTTAGCATTAAAATAAAAAATTTTAATCCATAGGCTTAAAAGGATTTTTTTTTTAAAGTTGAAACTCACATAAACCTAGGAAATTTCTAAGTAAGAATAAAACAGATCTAACATATTTTGGGTTTGCCCAGCCAGTTTTTTTAAAAACCAGACTGTTAGTAAAAAGAAAAACAAAGATAAAAAAACCGCTTAAAACCACCATTAGATGATAGTCACTATACAACTAGTGTGTACAGAAAAATAATTCAAAAATTTATAATTAAATCTATGGAAAAGGCCCAGATTATAACCTCCAGGTCAAATAAAGGAGACGATACAAAGTCAGGAGAAGAAGAGTTCATATGCATGCAGTATGAATGAGAAGGAGCAAAGGGCTATTAGTCAATACTCACCCTCCTGCTATGAGCTGGGTTCTCCTGGTCATCCACAACCTCTTCTTTCTCTTCTTCCTGTTTTTCTTCTGGATTGTCTACTTCCTTTAAGACAGACGCAATATTCAGCTGTACTCTTAATCTCTGGGAGAAATCAATCTCCGTTTTATTCTGGTAGCTTAAAACTCTCTAGAAACAATTCTTAGTGCTTTAAAGTATTATGTTGATATAAAGAACATTAAGTGTTACTAAGTCTTCCCTACCTAAAATGTGGTAACCTGTGATTCTCTTCCTTTGGAGGATCAATACCATAGTATCATCATTTGATCAAGGGAGATTACCTCATGATCACTGGACACAGTTACTTTTTCTGGAATTTCTTGTGATTGTTGGTCATTATTCTCCTCTGGAACCTCATTCTGTTGCTCCATCTCTAGCTCTTTCCGCCGTGCTTTTCTACGCCTGGTCTCTGCTCCAATGCTGGGTAGGCTTGGAGGTGGTGGAAGTGGCAATTCTGGAGCATTGGGATTTCTTTTCTGTATAGGACAATTCCGGTTCCCCTTGTGACATGCACAGTCCACTTTATAATTACTGGTCCAAAGAAAAAACCAAAAGTACCTGTCTTAGTACCCTTGAAATCCAGTTGTTTTTGTTTTTTTTTTGAGTTGGAGTCTCACTCTGTTGCCCAGACCGTAGTGCAGTGGCCGCTCCCGGCCACCGCAGCCTCGACCTGCCGGGCTCCGGTGATCCTTCCGCCTCAGCCTTCCGAGTAGCCGGAATTACAGGCATGCGCTACCACACCCGGCTGACTTTTTGATTTATTGTAGAGATGAGGTCTCGCTGCCCAGGCGGGGCTCAAACCCGCGGGCTCAAGCAATCCACTCACCTCAGCCTCCCAAAGGCGCGGGATTACAGGCTGAGCCACCGAGCCCAGCTTGAAATCCAGTTATATTATCATTTTATTTTCTTGAAGTATCAGTATAATAATTACTTCTGGTATTATCTCTGAATAAGTCAAACGGAGACACAAGACTGTCCAATAAATACTTTTAATATTCTCTGTAAAACCCCAACTCTACTCATACATATGGTCAGTAGAAAGGAAAGAAAGCTCCCTTTAAATTCAGTTCCAGCTAGGCGAGATGGCTCATAGCTGTAATAACAGCACTTTAGGAGGTCAAGGCGGGAAGATTGTTTGAGCCCTGGAGTTTGAAACCAGCCTGGGCCACACAGCAAAACCTCATCTCTACAAATAAATTAGACAAGTGTGGTGGCATGCACCTATAATCCCAGCTACTCACCACACTGAGGAGCCTGAGCCCAGGAGGTCAAGGCTGTGGTGAACCATGATAGTGTCTGGATGACAGAGTGAGACCTTGTCTTTAAAAAAAAAAAAAAAAAATCCCCAACAATAGGCAGTCAATCAGTGACAGAGGCTGAAGTAGATATACTTATTTTGTACCCATCATTACCATGTACTCACTTTTATTTATTCACTATTTATTATTAAACCTTTTCTTCTTTTTTTTTTCCTTTCTGAATTAAGAGGAATACCTTTTCTTCTTATACCTGAGCCAAACATCACTTTACCATAGAAACTTTATTTTGCATAAAACAAGCAAGGGAGAAAAAGCATCTACTTTATAAAAGCCATCACATATTCATCTATGATGTGCCATCTAATTTTTTGTACTGTGATATACAGCTAGATTAAATTGTTTTAAGTAGATAAGGTAAATTGTTTTAAGTAGATAAGGTAAATCTTTTTTTTTTTTTTTTTTGAGTCAGAGCCTCACTCTGTCATTCAGGCTGGAGTGCAGTGGCACACTCATGGCCACTGCAGCCTCGATCTGCTGGGCTCAGGTGATACTTCCGTTTCAGTCTTCCAAGTAGTTGGAACTAAAGGAGTATGCCACCACACCCAGATAATTTTTTAAATTATTTTTTAGAGACGAGGTCTCACCATGTTGTCCAGGATAGTCTAGAACCCGGGCTCAGGCAACCCTCTCACTTCAGCCTCCCAAAGTACTGGGATTACAGGCATGAAACACCATGCCCGGCTAGAGGTAAATCTTCATATTCCTCACAACTTTATTAAGGCATAATTGACAAAAACTGTATACATTTACAATGAGGTAAGCCTTTCAATTCTCATTCTGTATGGTCCCTGGCACAAGTACTCATAAAAGCAGGATGTCATTGTAGTTTCTACGAGTGTCTCTTACATATCTCTTTTGCCGTTCTTGCTAAAGAGGTATAAGCCAAAAGATCCTTGTTAGACTTGTAAGCAAATACCATACAAGGTATATGTATCTCTAAAAAAACACTCTGAAGATATACAGATGGAACAACAGACACTGGCAACTCCAAAAGGTAGGAGAGTGGAAGGGAGGTGAAGGATGAAAAAATGCCTATTGGGTACAATGTACACTATCTGGGTGATAGGTACTCTAAAAGCCCAGGCTTCACCACTACACAATATGTCCATGTAACAGAACTGCACTTGTAAAACTAAATGGGGCTGGGTGGGTGTAGAAGGTACACCAAACAAACAAACAAAAAAACTGTAAGTCTTATCTTTTCCTGTATAATTTCTAGGTAGAAAATGTATTACTCATGAAAAGGTTAAGTAAAAACAGGAGAGGGCAAGAAACGAAAACAGAATTTCAATAGGGCTGAACAGCTTCATATGCAAAACAAGGACATTCATATTAGGAAAGGTTTTTGAGGTCTTACCAGTTACTATACTCATAATCAAATGCTATGGTAACCTCAGCATCCTTGGTGATGGCAGACACAGCATAGATACACAGGTGAATCATTCCATCTGCAATCATGTGTCGCACCTGTGAGTACAAGACTGATGGTTAGATTTATCATAAAGACCATAAACTTTCCAATAATTTATCTCCATTTACAGTTATGGTAGTCTGTTATTTAATCTCATCATTTCATCTGAGACCATTATATAGTATTGGCTTGAAAATGTATGATACTTCTAGAAATAGTGAAGAAACCTAGAGATGTTAGAAACTAGAACAAAAATCTCTGCTGTGTATCTTTTAACTGTTTCTAACTCTACCAGAGAATTAAAATTCCTTACCTTGTAAATAAAGCTTTATAGATTTCCTGCTGCCATTTGATATGGCTGCACTGAGTAGTGAATTCTAGAAATGTCTAGATTGTCTTAGAATACTGTTTTCTAAAGTCTAAGAAACTGCAACCAAATAGCTCTAGTTAGGCCTAATGACATCTACTTCCACCGTATAGCAATTTCTGTAATATAACCTCACTCACTTATTCAGTCTAGCTCTTTCTCCTAGTAAATGCTAACTTGCTTTTTCCATTTCTGCCTTATCTGAAGTAATTCCTTGTCCCCCATCCTGTCAGTATAAAAGCACAATTAATTTTGTTTTTTATCTCTCATAATGAAAGACCACAACTAGTCTCTACAGACCTTTATCTGGGTGAAGTTTTCACACTGCTTCTTCAGTAAGCTTGTCCTTTGGTGATTCCATTCAAAGGGAAGTTGCTACGGATATCTTACCTCTGCATTTGGTGTACATGATCTTCTGATGAACCGAGCATCATTACCGAAAGTACGAGCATCCACACACATCTCTACACCATTGAATTTTGAGTAGAAGAGCACAAAGGGGTATGGTCTAGGAATATAATTAAAATTCCTGTAATTTTCAACAAAAATAAAAAGACCACCCTGACTCCAAATAGGAGGCATATGCTGACAAAGCAGTAGTCCTTTGCAATGCCTAAACTTAGAAAACATCACATGCTTGTCTGTTTTTGATTAAAGAACAAGCACAAAGCAAGGAATGCTTAGCTTGGAAAGGAATCATCACCACTTTATACATTAAACAATTTGCAGATTTGTACTTCTCTACAAATAGAAGAGAGGTATGAGCTTATCTGAGTTGTAAACTTTTTCCCAAGAGCATCCTATCAAACAGGATGATTTTTATAACACGGGTCAGCCCTCACCGCACAATGAATGATTTCTTACTTTTTGAAGAAATGCCCATTGACCTCAAATTGCTGACGTAACATGACTTTCCCACGATACTCTATTATAAGTGTGTCCAAAGCCAAATCTTTTGCAGCCCTCAGGATCTTCCGGTGCTTTTGAACACGAGTGACTCTTCCAAGTTGTAACTGAATAAAACCAGAGTAGTAACATTACACATCAGCAGCAGTAGCTTAGTAAACACTCAAAGTATCTCATAATTAAGGAAAATTCATGAATATTTTCAGGTTTTATCTGTATGTTATTTAGATCAATGATCAGAAATGTTTGAATTCCATATAAGCTCAATTGTTCTAGGAAAACTTTTTCATCTAGTAAACCTGACTCCCCAGAAAAGGGAAGAAAAGATCAAAGAAAAATGCATGATTAAGATTTCAGTGGTTCTATGTCTGATAAGAATAACAAAGAATAAGCTTAGCTTTTTAAAAATCTTACATAATTCCTACCTAGGCTGCATACAATCTTCCATCCTAATTCATCTATTTTTGATGAACAAAGATTATTTTAAAATATGTAGCTTCCAAGCCAAGTATGCTGGTTCACGCCTGTAATCCCAGTACTTTGGGAGGTGGAGATAAGAGTTCAGAGGTTCGAGACCAGTCTATGCAACTTGGTGAGACCTCATCCCTACAATAAATCAAAAAGTTAGCTGGGCATAGTGGTGTGTGCCTGTGGTTCCAGCTACTCAGAAAGCTAAGGCAGAAGGATCATCTGAGCCCAGCAGGTTGAGGCTATGGTGGTCGTGAATGTGCCATTGCACTCTAGCCTGGGAAACACAGTGAGACTCTGACTCAAAAAATAAAAAACAACAAAAACAAGTTTCTAGTTAATATAACCTACTTTTGGTTAAGGATGATCAACAGCTGGCTAATTTGCTTTTCTAGGACCTTGTACATGTGGAAGAAACAATAATTCTAATTCATGTTCACTTTCTGGGTTCTTAAAAATCTCAACTACTTACTTAAAGAGTCTTCAACCCTTTGGTCCTTACCTGCATTTGGGAACCAATAACTGTATTATTACAGGCCAATTCAGTCTTATTAATAGTGTCTAAAATGGCAGGTTTGCCCACGAATTCCTTGCTAGAATGTAGATGTTGTTCAAGGGCGTTCTGTACATCTGCACTGTACTGATTAGTGAATGCTTCTTCATACTGATCAGTCCATAGTCTTATCCGATTTTCCCAGCCCTCAGTTGTATTCTCATCTAAATTCTGTGCTTCAGAGGGAGAATTCTGTAGAGAACAAAGGTCAGGTATGTTAGCAGAATCCATGCATAAATAAGAAGGGAGAGGGGAAGAGACAGGCTGAGTTTCCAGAGAAAATTTATCACTTGGCGGTTGGTATGGCATAAAAGAGTAATGGACTGGGAGTCAGGGGATCTGGTTTCTATCATGGTTTCGTTACCAATGTTAGATGAGATCTCGGACAACTTCTTTAAATAGAAAAGCTCAGTTTCTCCATTTAAAGTGAGAAATTGAATCTTAGTTTGTTCCCATCACTGTGATTTTATGACCATTTTTAAGTCATAAAAATCAATTTTATTTTCATTAAGACTAATAGACTAATATAGTTTATAAAAGTTTTGTCATAAAAATTAACAACAGAAGCCGGGCTCAGTGGCTCAGCCTGTAATCCCAGTGCTTTGGGAGGCCGAGGTGAGTGGACTGCCTGAGCCCGCGGGTTCGAGACCCGCCTGGGCAACTTGGCGAGGCCTCATCTCTACAGTAAGTCAAAAATTAGCCAGGTGTGGTAGCGCATGCCTGTAGTTCTAGCTACTAGGAAGGCTGAGGCAGAAGGATCGCCGGAACCCAGCAGGTCGAGGCTGCGGTGGCCGGGAGCAGCCACTGCACTCCAGTCTGGGCGACAGAGTGAGACTCCAACTCAAAATAAAATAAAATAAAATAAAATAAAAAATTAACAACAGAGACCTCAAATTATCACACTGCTTTAATTTTCAATACTTATTGAACATTTGTGTTAAAGTTAGCCCAAACTGGATTGTTTTACTACTCTCCAGGAGAATGTTTTCATGTCACTTAATATTTTCACTGTATAATTAATACATATTAATTTAAAGTATACATGACCCCAACCAACCAATGAATCCAATCATAATCTTACCACCTATATACAAAATTATCATTCTGGAATATATCTTTCTAACACTCTATTTTCAACAATTTAAACTGCCACATTTTAACTAATCTGAAAAGGTGAAGTGAGGGAGAGGAGTGGGCAGGGAGAATATAGAAAACGTACAAGAGGTACTTTGCTGTACTCCTCTAGGAAAACCACTGCTCTCCATGTGACAGTACTGGGAAAAGATTATACCTCAGAAACGTATCCTAAACAGAGTGCTTGAGCTGCAGAAACACAGCTTAAGTCTGATACATGTTCGCCTTCATGGGTTAAGACTTAAGGTGCCATCAGAAAACAAAACAAACACTAATAGTGCGGATATCATACTAGTGATGATTAGAAGGAAAAGACACTGAAGTACCAAAGCCACCTGAAAATCCATGTCCACACTAAACTTGCAAACAAACATTAACAAAATTAAATATGCTTTCCATAAATGGCACAGAAAACACCGATGCCTATCATAACAACTGCTTGCTTTCATCACTTTTGGGTCATTGTGGTTTGACTGACTGCTGTCTACTACCCACAGGAATATGGAAGAAAAAAATTAACATTATTGTTTTCTACATTCCTCACTGAAGTCCAAAAGACTAAAGAATAAACAAAAGGCTCTAGGTAACACCTAAGGCCAATACACTCAGAACAGAGTATCACCTACTTTATGCTGTCAGCAGCAGTTGAACAAAAAGATAGTATAAAACCTTAAACATAAGGGTGCTTATAGTCTAGAGATTAGAGGTACTCAAACAATATTCCCAGCTTTAAGCATCTAGTGGCAATCACTTAATTTATTGCTTGATAAGTTTACTGTATTTTGGAAGTCTTCATGATAATATTAGCTGTTGTTCACCAGTCTCACTGTGTGTTTACTCTGTTATCCCATCCTGCAAGGCACTGGGACTCCATCTCAGTGGTTTCAAGCAATGGTTCTTGGTTGGGGGAAATTTTAAATTCAGGAGACATTTGGTAGTATCTGAAGACATTTTTGGTGATCACAACTGAGTCTGTATGTATAGTGCTGGCACCAAGTAGGTAAACACCAAGGATCCTGCTCAACATTAACCGTCCCCTTTATAACAAATGAATTATTTGGTCCAAAACATCAACAGTGGACAAGGCTGAGAAACTCTGGTTTACAATTAAGTCTCCAGTAGGAAAGCTCTTAGTATTGAGATTAAAAATCCAAATGATAAATTTTACCCATTCCTATGGCTCTGACCTGAATCTTTGGTGGAGTTCTTACTAGTAATTCTGAGTGCAAAATTTATAATTTAATTTAGAGTTACGAGATGAAGAATCAAATTAAAACGAGTAGTATTTTTTTTTCTGTCAAAACTTTAACACACTTGTAGAGTTGTCAACCTTTTAAAACTGAAAACAAGCCGGGCTCGGTGGCTCAGCCTGTAACCCCGCGCCTTGGGAGGCTGAGGTGAGTGGACTGCCTGAGCCCATGGGTTCGAGACCCGCCTGACAACTTGGCGAGACCTCATCTCTACAATAAATCAAAAACTTAGCCGGGTATGGTAGTGCGTGCCTGTAGTTCCAGCTACTTGGAAGGCTGAGGCGGAAGGATCGCCGGAGCCCAGCAGCTCGAGGCTGCGGTGGCCGGGAGCGGTCACTGCACTCCAGTCTGGGCGAGTGAAACTCCGACTCAAATAAATAAATAAATAAAATAAAACTGAAAACAAAATTTGAGCTTCATATGTTGTTTTCTGAGAAAGCCCGCCCATAACTTGCTAAAGGTTTTGAATCTCTAGAGATAAGTTATGATAACTGGCTGATAAGAGAAAAGGGCTTAACAGCTGGGATCAGGGCTATGTCTGCTTCTAAACAAATTAGACAAAAATAAAGGGGCAATTAAAGCAAACTTGGCTGCTTGCAGGAGATGGATCCAGCAAATAAATTATTTGTGTTCCAAGACACATCCCAGGTCTCTAATGCCTTGTGGTTCTAAGTCCATTCCCATCTCTTTTATAGATATGTGTAAATCTGTTTATAAATAGATACAGGGTGAGGCCTTCAAACTTCAGATGAAATGCCACATGTAATCTTTGATATCATCAGTAATATTAGTGCTCCACATAAATATAAAGTAATCCCAATAAAGCTTTAAAACTTATCCTCACTAAAGATTTTATGTTTATTCCCTATAACTGTCAATAGGAACAATCCTGTTTTTATATCATTTACACATTCAGGAATATGAGCACTTATAAAACTTGAAGTTGAATTTACTTCTAATTAAATGCTTTGAAGCTGTACGTAATGATTTGGGAGGCCTACTGTCACACACACACACACATGCACGCACACGTAAAGGAAGACACCAGACTGTATAATCATGATCCTAATCAATCAATGAAGCCAATCATAATCTTACCACTCATATACAAAATTATCATTTTGGTCAACTTTTTATCAACCAGCACCTAAAGGTTCTTTAAAACACTGCCCATAATCTCTCTAAGTTCTCCAAGTTCTTTAGAAAATCATGCCTTATAAGCTCTTTTATTCAAGAACTGAAGAAACACACTAGTATCACCTAAGTCTTCACTACCCAATAGATAAGCCAAGAGAAAACAGCAATTCCTATTAATAATACAACCTTGCTGCTGAGATTTATCTTTTCAACTGACAATTAAAGCCCACATTGTGCTAGAGTGGGTGCACAAGAGATCCTCCTATATCATTACCAGAAAAACCTCACGCCTAAGGTTGAGCTGAATCATAGTGACAGAACACAACAGCTTCATTTTGTTTGGCAAAACGTCACTTACCCATCCCCACCAGAAAAGCTAATGAAAAACCCAATAAATGAAGGCTGAATACAGAAAGGGAAAATATTTCAGAAAATGGCCAAGAAAATCTACTTTGGAGAAAGCTCTATGAAAACCGAATGATAACAACTACAAACTAACAAAAAGCAGAGTCCAAGATTCCCAGAACATCAATGTCAGGAAAGAAGCTGACCAAAACGCAAGATCACAGTGAAGTAAAACACAGCATCAGGGAAGATTACCCCTTACCTTCATCCGCAAGGACTTCCGGGATCCCTCTCGAAATGCCTATCCCAAGGAGGAAAACAAGTAGAACAAACAAAACTTGGTACCAAGAATGACAGTTATACCTATCTGAGACTAAAACTAAGGTACGAGCTAGTGTTCTGTTCTGTCCCCCTTTCTCTAGGTAACAAATACAACAGAATTTCCCAAACTATTATCAAGAATAGGGGTAGCTCAAGGCCAATGAACTCTGAGACTAATTTTAACACTTTCTATTATGAAGCTAGGTAGCTAACAGGGAAGAGCATGCATCACTTAAATCCTATACGCACTCTTGATACTAAGAAAAAAAGTAAATAAAAAACTTTAAGGTTGCAGATTTACCAGTTTTTAAAATAAGAAGGAAACAAAGACCAATCCCCTTATCAAGGGGTGGGCAAGTCACCTAGAAGCAACAAAGTTGCTGTGATGGGGAAGAAAGAACACAAACCAGAAGAAGTTTCTCCAGGAAACTTTTTAGCTGAGAATACAGGAAAGTGACAATGATACTGAGAAAGCCTAGACCATTCAAGAGATGTTTCCTGATTTTTTTTTTTAACACGGAAAAACAATCAACCCAAAGACATGAGGCATGTAACCAGGACAAGAATTTCAGACTATGCTTTGGGATTGAGAGGCGGGGAGATACTGTAAGGATAGTAGAAGCCCAGAATTGAGGCTACAACACATATGGGCTTGTGCCAGGTGGAATTTCATACCTGGGATGGGGGCTGTAGAAGAAACTGTGAGCCAGTGGTGATGATATGGTGTGGCAGAAGACAAGTTGGTCTACATGTACGTAACACAGATTTTTGGAAGTAGAGCAAAAGTGGCCCTTCAAACATCTGGATCAAATTTAAAAGAATTTTGGTGCATTCTTGCTCCAAAATTGAGCTATTTCAGACATGTTTCTACTTAGCATATTTTTACCAGCCATACCTTTACTTTCTTCGTCTTTGGTGCTGCACGACCCTTTTCTGGACTCTTTTTCCTCTTCTTGGGTTTGGTTCTTCTAACAGTTAAGGTGATGCTTGTAGGTGTATGCTGTGTTGCTGTATACAACACAGTGGAAGGAGAAAGCTCCTCATCCCAGCTTTCAGTTGCACTGCTATCCCCACCTGAAAAAAAGGCGATTTCATATTTCAGGTACTAACAGCATAAAAGGACACTAAAAACAGCTTATTCCTTTAGTTTTACCCCATATCCAGTAAGTCATTACTTCTACTGTTCTCTTTTCTGTACAGAAACATAAACATCCACTTTCCTTATGAAAACAAGATTCTTTCCATATTACTGGCATTAAGCATATAAACTCTACTCTGCATCGTATCTATTTCTCCCCTTGTATTCAATCTCTATATTTCATTGCCTCAATCTGTAACAATCAGAGATTGGTTAATTTTTTAAAAAGGGGATCCATACATTTTGTGTTCACAAGGAATGCTTTAACTGTTACAGGGCTAAAATGTTTCTGGATACATATAGTTTACAACATGATCTTGAGAGGACTTCTATCTCTTTACATGGAAAGAGCTAGGGACCATGGGAACTTATAAGAGGTATTCTTAAAAGGAACACTTAAATCACAAAATATTCATATGTCAAGGTGTGGACTTAACCCACCTTTCACTCACCTGATATGTTGTCCTGCTTCCGCCGATGAAGTCTAATAACCTTCCCCCTGCTCATTCCCCTAAAGAGGGAAAATAAACTTAAAGTAGTCCTTCCAAGAGCATGCATCACATCATAGCACACACGGGCGAAGTGTCTCTGCATATACTACCCCCTCCCTCCCACCTACCAAATGTTTCCAGGACATTAAATTTCATATCAAATTCAATAGCTTTAACATCAATCTCTCATTCCTTGTTGTCAGCAATTCTCACCTAGTGCAGAGAATTCGAGCCAAGGAGCACTAAGGAATCATCTACATTAACAAACACAAGAAAGAATACTTTGAGCTTTTCCCTACTAATAAGAAACCCTAACCCCAGCAACCCAGATTTGAATGTAGACGGAACAGGATCTTACCTGCACTTGTCACAGTTGAGAAGGAAGCCATCCTGAGAAAGACCACAAGGACACCAGGTAGGAACAGTCTCTCCTTCTGAGTTCGGGCTGTCTCCACAGCGTTCCTCTACGGGCGACGGCAGGCCATTCAGGTCAGAACGAGGGATGATCGTCTGGACAGGGGGAGAAGCAGGAGGTGTCGGAGGAGGAGGGGCTCCGTAATTATGATCCTGAAAATAAGATTTTTTAAATCAACAGTGTCCAAACACTGGCCCCTCTCTCCCCTAAAGTATGGTACATATGGAAAGAAAGAAGAAAGTAGTACCCTTCGTTTTTTGGCTTCAACCAGGAAAGTGATAAAACAAAATGCCAAGGTCAACTGGGACATAAAAACAAGAACAATGATGCAGGGCTAGACGTCCGCTGGAGGCAGGGAAGTGCAAAGGGGGCAACTTCGTCATGCTGCATATAAACATTTCAAGAAAGTCACAATGTATAAGAATGGATTACACTCCAGGAAGATCACTGCTCTGGAGAGAAACAAATGCATACTCACAGCATAAGGCAGTCCTCGACACCCATGCCTCTGAGTGGTCCCATAATTATGAGTGGAATACACGCTCTTCTCATTAACTGCTGGACTAGCCTCCACAGATTCAGGGCTGCACAAAGGCGAAAAGCAATGCATGATAGCATAACACCTAATCTTCCCTTAAACTAAAACTTCACTTCCCATTCTAACCCCTCCTCTTTCCAAAACCACCAGCCACTAGAATAAGAGAAAGAGCTCAGTGAAACAATCTGATTAACATAACTAAGCCTATAAATAACAGTAGGAGTGTTATTAATGTGGATTTGTGTGTAACATGAAGCCAGTACAGGCAGATGTCTCAAGGCAGGCACCTGGGATACAAGGTGTCCCTAATGACAAACACAAACGTACCAGCTGAGCGGGGAGTTTCCCCTAGAGAAGCCACTCTGGGCTGGTTTAGACTCAGAACTATTCTTCTTAATTGGATCTCTTAATACTTCCATGAAACCTCACATGACATTTGCAGTGAGTGAGATGATGAAAGTGCCTTCTGCACTGCCCCAGGGACCAGGCCCTCTTCCATTCACTACCAAGACAGGATACCCTGAAGAAAGTACAGGTAAAAACAATGGCATCTTATATTTATTACACCTCTCATCTTGACGAACCCCCAAACACCTTTCAAATATTAGAATAATTCCTCATTCACCAGTGACATGCAAGCATATCAGACAAAATTGTATAATAGCCGCATGGCAATACCATAGAACTTCAAAATAATCAAAACTGAATTCAAAAGTAATGTCTAGTAACAAATAATAATAGTGGTACTAGCTACCATTTTGATTCACCCATTATTTACTAGGTGCTTTATAAATATTAATTCATTTAATTTCTGCAACCACTCAACATGATATACACCCTATTTTTACAGAGGGGGAAGTTGAGGTGGTAAGATCACATGATTTCCCCCCAAAGTCACACACTGACGGAATCAGGATTTGAAACAAAATTTGTGTGACTCCAAAGCCTGTGCTCTTTCCACTATGCCTCTTGGTTTGGAAACCAGGATAGCAGTCTACCTTTAAGGAAAATCATCAGAGACCTTTATCAACCAGGCTCAGTAAGAAGCTTGGTTTAGTATCTTTTTTACACCCTCACTGAGTAGAAAAGAAATTATTCAAGTACAATTTATTATTATAGAAGAATTATACAAGTGTTCAAATTTAGAAATTTAATGTAGGCCTTTAATTGATAACAAAAAGGCACTGATGCCAAAGAATAAAATTCAAGTTTTGGGGAAGAAAGAGCATCAACTCTGATTGTTACCTGAGGAATACTGAAAGATAACTTAAAATATAATTGTATGACTTTGCAGAACTGAATAATGCATTATTTGTAATTTATATTAATTAGTACAGAGATCCGCAAATTAGAAAACCCAAGGACTAGTATAACTCAACCTTAAAGATCAAAGGGTCTTTCAGGGAATCAAATAATGCATAAAATACTTCAAATAATAGACCTTTTTCCTGCTTAAAGATATACAATATATGGTACTTGGCAGGAATAAAGTGTAAAGTGTGTGCTTCATGTAGTGCAATGTCAGTTGAAAAGTGAGGGATAAAAGAAAATTCTGATATATGTATCCAACTCACCCAGTTATATGCTCCAAAACTGTGAGAAGGGATCTTATTAGTAACAGCAAAGGTAAGTTCTAGGTGAAGAGAACTTTAGATAGAGGAAAGTATTTTCTGTTAGTGAGGTGCATGCATTTTATTATTTAAGAGTGTCTGCAGATGGGAACGGGGGGGGACGGTGTACATCAAGAATGCAGGCCAGTATTCTTGGGAAAAAGATGATCTGAACATGGCTCATTGAGAGGCAATCATTTCTGAGTATTAGGAAACAGGTGGGGTTTCCTAAATGAAACCAAAGGCAGACAAGCATTAACAAAATGAAGGTATAATTTAGTTTCCATGATGGACAATTAAAAGAAAGTAATAGGTTTATATAACATTGTTAATTTACTAGATACATTACTAGATAAAAAAGTATTTCAAAGAGCTGTATATATTTTATACAGGAGGATTTTGTACCACTTTGAACACATGGGGTGAGACATGACAGCTGTTTATTAGGGATGGATTTTCTTTTTGGACGGGAAAAAGGAAAGTTGCATGAAATAAAAGATGGCCATGGAGATGGAGCTATGTTGGTTGTATCTTACCCATCTCCAAACGGGTAAATATGAACATATGCACTTCATGTGCAAGTCTAGGGAATAAAAATAAAATGTATGTTGTGGAGGTTAACAGGCCATCCCACTGCACAACACTTTCTAGTCAAGCACAGCATTTAATATATTGTGGTGCATGACAAATCTAAAATTTAAACTCATATCTTTTGATGAGGAAACTTTGTAATTTCCCTGTCAATTATTGATTAAATACATAATTAGATGATGACAGGTAACTACAAGAGTTCCTATAATATTCTTCAACATATATATCACTTCTTATCAACATTTTAAAATATGGATTCAAAATTTGGATAATTTAAATTATATCGCTTTATTAGCTACCACTTTATGTACATGTAATTATAGCCTTTCTTTTGCCATGATTGAATTGCTATGACAGTTGGGCACATGTACAGAAACGAGGCTCACAACAGATATACTCTAATAATTGTGTTCTAAGTACAATATGCAACTTCCTGCTACTATGCCACCTCTTGGGAAATGCCTGAAATTCTGTTATGATAGAGTTGGAAATTCAGAAAAAAACTTTGCTTCTCTTGCTACATCTACAAGTTTTCCTGTATTATATATATTATCAAAAAATGCATAATTGCATACTGTTGTCATCAGATTTTAAAACCTATGAAGTGAAATCTAGGTCTTTTACTTAGTTGAGTATGCTGTGCTTAATACCAGCTTTTATCATGAAATAGGCATGATGAAACATTAACAAATATTAATAATTGAACAGAATGGTACATAAGCTAGGTACTGACATTCTCTTCCTTTGAAGAAATACTAAACAAATAACTGCATAATTAGTTGTGACCACAGTATCAAAAATCTGTCTGGACATCATGAATGTTTCAGGAAATCCTAGGATATCTGATGTTAATGGAGACACCGCAGTCAAATTTGTAGACCAGGTATTTTTATTTCTGCAGTTACTCCTGGACACCCTGGCAGCATTTACAGGTAGTCATCTCTATATATAAATACTAGTTGTAAGCTTAACTGCTTTGGGTCTTTTTCTTTTCCACTAATTTCAAACTTATTGGTTTAACTTACTTTATTTGGAGAAACAATTATAAAATTGGAAGTCTTAGCTATTGGTATAATTAAATATCTTGGCATGCAAAAAAATTACAAACAAAAGAAAACAAGAAAAAAGTTCTAGAAGTAACACAATCCACCCTCTCCCAACCCCCACCCCCTTCCTCCTTTTTATGTAAGAATAAGCCGGAAAACTGTTTTCCATTTGGGACTACCCCAGAATATTATATACTATTTCTTAGGGTAGTCTTGTTTTAACTCTTCCTCTTTAAAGGAATCCAGTAAACATATGAGTTAAAGTAGGTGGCATTTTGAAGAAATAAACATGCTCTTTAAAAATATTCTCAGTTTTAAGGAAGAAAACCACTAGTAATAAGGGATGCCGTTCAACCCAGAATTCTGGTACAGATACTTTGCTTTGCTGAAAGGGGAAGAATCCCCAGGGACTGTGAAAATGGCAAGAGAAACAGGGGAATTAGAGCAACACCCACCTCACTCAAGAAGTGGCTGTGGGATCAAGAGTCTGAACTGGACCTGAACATATTCAAAACACCAGGATTTTTCCAGCCCAGACCCTAATCCCTGGTACTGCCTGGAATAGACTTGGCTTCTGGGGGTGTGCTGCCCCCTAGGCCCCTTGGGTCTCTTTCGCTGGACTTTCACATCCTGGTGTAGTGCCACTTCGTCTTGAAAGGTAGGGGGCTTCCACTTCCTTTCTGTAAGCAAGGAAGATTGGGTACAAGGGAGGTAAAAGGACAAGAGGGGGAATCTGTGAGCAGGGGGAATCTCGGACAACTTAAAAGAGAAGGGATACAAAAGGCTAAAAATTTTTAAACTGTGAATAATATATAAAGTTGTATAATGAAGGCCTACCTTCATTGTCATTTGGCATTTAAATTCTTCAAGAATTGAGGGTATTATTTTAGGGATTGGGCTTTTCGACAAACTCTGAATTCCTAAAGCTGCTCTTAGCTGAAAAGAAAGTTTGGTACCACTGATTTTGAAGGTCCTCTTTCTAGGCAATAGAGATTATAAAAAAGATAGCACTGCTCTCCATGTCTTCTATCCCAAATGTCAGAAGGTCTAAGCAACCTGCCCAATATAAAGTTACAGCCCCTTTACCCTAGAATAATGGAAAGTACATAGGAAGAGGCCTTCAAGGAAAATCAGTTGGAAAGAACACCTTATCGCCCTCCATCAGAATAATCACTAACTATACGGAAGCAGGTAGTGACACCTACTTTATTTCAATCTTCTCCCCCCATTAAAACAAATAAAAATGTAATCCCTACTTTGCAACTTTGATTCTATTATTTACCCAGAAACCCCTCCCTGAAAGCTCTGTTCCTCCCCCATCTAATTCCATTTTTGCTCCAGCTTCTTGGGGGAAAAGGGAAAGGTCTAATGTTATTTACAGTGGGACAAGATTTGGTTAAACAAATACTACATATTATCTTGTTAGCTAGTCCTAAGAAAGTTGTCTCCACACAAACTGGTAATGTATCTACTACCTAGAAAGTAGCACTTACTCTGATCCAGCAGCCATATCTGAGTAGGATGTATCTGGTGTGGTGACTCCCAGAGGGATTGCAATGCTCATGACGTCCAACACAGCAGAAATTGGAAATCACGGGGTCCAACTAATGGAGACTGACCACTCTGAGAGTGGGGGTGAGCTGCAGAGCCTCAGCCAACATGTTATGGACATGAGGAATCCTGTCACAGAAAAGGAAAATATCTAGTATTAGATAGTTCTTTAAATATATCCTAAATGCTACTGAATATTTTTCTGTTATCTTGAATAAGGCTTTTAAGAAATTATTATAAAGCAAGTACAGTCATATTTCCCACCCCATATTTACTATGTATTTCCATATTGTTTCACAAAATGAGGTAGCAAAAAGTTATGTTTACTTTTTAATTTCTATTTTAATTTTTTTTTTCAGTTCAGTTGAAGGGAAAGAAATAGTCTACTCAGTTCAGGAATAAGCACATTCCCCCGAACTATTCTACAGTTGACCATCAAGCAAAATTTTCTGGCAGCCTAGGACCTAGCAAGCAGGTTTTTAGATACAGGATGGTTATTAGAAATATTCTTGCCCACTTCCTCCACTCTCTGCTCTCCTGCCCCTACCATCCCCCTTTGCCTTCTTTCTCTCCCTGCTCCAACTCATCCCACCATTCTCTCTCTCCACTTACAGTCCTCCATCTTTCTGTCCCTTACTCCTTTTTCACCTCCTTCCTGCCCCTTCCATCCTTCCTTCCCTCCCTCTTCGCTTTTTCCTTGCCCTCTCACTCCCTACTATCCTGTTCTCTTTCCCCTCCAACACCTTCTCCTCCTCTCTCTCGCTCTCAAAAAAAAAAAGTCTCGTTTACCTAAACTCTTTTAACAATTCACGGTTGTCATTTAATCTTTTTTCCTAGATCACAAATAAATGCAGTTTTACAAGCAGTCAATGCTACTTCTTCCAAACTGAAAGAAATCAATTTGTTTATTCTTGATTGCATGCAGCTGTTTGTTACTGCCTTCTTTCATCATAGAACACTGTCATCTCTAAATCATTTAACTATAATTTTAAGAAAGGCACAAATATTTTAAAAACTGTATTTGTAAGGTAATATACACTACTAGATATGAACAAAACCACAGACTTCAGTGGAGGCTATGCATGTGTGGGTGAGAGGATTTATGGGAAATTTCCATATCTTCTGCTTAATTTTGCTTGAACCTAAAACTGCTTTAAAAAATAGTCTCTGTATTAAAAATACACACACAAAACTAAATCACTAAGAGTATAGTTTAATGATAAAGACTGAAGAATTGTGTATGAAAAAGCAGTGATAATACCTTGGCTTCCTAACCAGTGGAATTTGGGAACAGAAAGACTCACAAACTACAGGAGTGCGTTAAAAACAAAAAAAGTAGAGTAGGATACAAAGGTATGGTGCAAAGGGGAAAAGGTATACTTCATATGACTTTATGTTAGCAGTTTTTAAATTAAAGTGAAAAATCACTAAAACGATTAAACAGGAAGCATTTCATATGAGAGCAATGTCAATGTGAATGTTAAAAATTCAGGTTAATGAAGATTTTGCTTGCCTGAGCCCAGGGATTCAAATTCAACATCAGCCTGGGCAACTTGGCAAAACCTCATCTTTACAATAAATCAAAAAATTAGCCATGCATGGTGGCGGTGCCTATAGTTTCAGCTACTTGGAAGGCTGAGGCGGAAGGATCACCTGAGCCCAACAGGTCAAGGGCTTATGAGTGTGCCACTGCATTTGAACCTGGGCGATAGAGTGAGACTTAGACGTAAAAAAAAAAAAATCCAAAAACGACTACAAAAAAAGTCACAACTGACATATTGATTCATGAAAGGGCAAATTAAGATAGAAGAGTTAATTATTAATACTTAAAAACTAAATGGAGCCGGGCTCGGTGGCTCAGCCTGAAATCCCGTGCTTTAGGAGGCTGAGGTGAGTGGATTGCCTGAGTCTGCGGGTTTGAGACCCGCCTGGGCAACTTGGCGAGACCGCATCTCTACAATAAATCAAAAAAAAATCAGCTGGGCATGGTAGTGTGTGCCTGTAATTCTGGCTACTCGGAAGGCTGAGGCAGAAGGATCGCTGGAGCCCAGTGGGCCGCTTCCAGCCACTGCACTCTAGTCTGGTCAACAGAGTGAGACTCTAACTCAAAAAAAAAAAACAAACCCTAAATGGAGTGAAAAGTGAGTCAATCCAGGGGGTTAATGCAAACTTAAAATGGTAGACAGTTTGAGATATATGAAGCAGATTAATGTGATAAGAAAATTAATTGTGAATGGTGAATTAGCAAAGATTTTTAAGAATGCATAAAGATAATATACTACTTTTTAACTGTTATTTTAGAATGTTAGAACAGCCAGGCACAGTACACCACTTTGGGAGACCAAAGTGGGAGGAATGCTTGAGCCTAGGGGTTTGAGACCAGTCTTCATAATATAACGAGACCTCATCTCTACAAAAAAATAAAAGATTTAGCTGGGCATGCTGTTCCCAGCTATTCAGGAGTCTGAGGCAGGAGGATCCACCTGAGCCCAGGATTAAAGCTGCAATGAGCCATGATCATACCACTGCACTCTAGCCTGGGTAACAGAGCAACACCCCAACTTAAAAACAAAAACAAAACAAAAAATGCTAAATTAAGATAGAAACTAAGCAGTTCTCCTTGGCACCTAGGCTTTCGAAGAGCTGGATCTCACTAATGAACCCAGGACTTTCCAAATCTGAGTGTAGTGATACACCTATTGCTATCCAACTGGAGGTGATATATTGCTGGATTAGGAATTAAAATAAAGAGGTTAAATTTTCCTATCTATTGCTTCCTCTCAGTTCATAAGGAGTTGACTGATATAACTTTCCGCCTCTGGGCCAATCTTACACATAAGTGTTTCCTTTCCCTCACAATATATCCAAACAGAGACTTTGGCAGTACATCTTCCAAGCCTTTTGGAAACTGAAATAAAAACAGAAAATGATAAAACAGAGAACACTTACCAAGTAAGCCCAAAAGAGCATAGTTAAATATTGAGAACTATTGGCTACATCTCTTTCTCTAATATTAGTACCACTGTGTTATTCAGATTTTAAAAATGAAAAATTCAGATTTAAAAGTAAATTTTAAAAAAACCATAAACTGCCTGACTATAATCAGAAGAAAGTCTGATTTTGATCATACCTCCACTGACTAGTAAAGAGGATCTGAATCATGTGTTAGATTTTAAATAAAGGACTTAAATAAAAATAAAAGACCTCATTCAACATCATTAAAAAGCCTTTGTTATAATGCCATCGTTATTATATGCCCATTAAAATACTGTAAGGCTTCTAGACAAAAGACAACTTATAAACATAAGCTGATAGCTAATATTTTCCTTAGAGCAGTTTTTAAAAGATATACTAAAAGGAAAAGGTGGAAAAGTTACTTCAGATATCTTCTTAATGAGATAATAAATAATTTCTATATTCCCAATGAAATACCACCCCAGCTATTTTGGATAGTTGTTAAATAACCTTAAGAAAACATTAAATAGTTAACTATGAGGTCCTCTCTCATAAATTCTTCCATTTTCCTTTTGTATTAAAAAAAAATTTTTTTTCTGAGTTGGAGATTCACTGTCACCCGGGCTAGAGTATTGTGGCATGCTCACAGCCACAACAGCCTCGATCCATTGGACTAAGGTGATCCTTCTGCCTCAGCCTTCCAAGTAGCTGGAACTATCGGCACATGCCACCACACACAACTAATTTTTTGATTTATTGTAGAGACGAAGTCTCGCCAAGTTGTCCAGACTGGTCTCAAACCCCTAGACTCAGGCAATCCTATCACCCTGGTCTCTCAAAGTGCTGGGACAGGTGTAAGCCACCATGCCTGGACGCTTTTGTCTAATTTTACATGACTCTTCCACTCTTCTAATGAGAGCAGTCATGATAGCTTATCTTGGTGTCAAATAATGCTATCCCAATAAAAATATAACCCTGAGAATAGTTCCTTCCTTAAGTGTGTGAAATATAGCTATTAAAATATCAACTGAAGAACATTTAAGAGATTATCTATATGCAGTATTTCTTTATTACAATATTCCAGTTTTATAAACCAAGACAAGATTCTGAGTAGAGTTTACCAGGCTTAGTATTTATACCAGTTATTAATTTATTACATAGTTTGGAGATGTGCCTTGAAAAGAACAGTAAGAATTCTGTCTCTAGATGAACAATTTCAAGATATTTTACTTGTGAATTTGTCTGCTTCATCTGCTGCTGTAGTTCCAATGGCCAGAACCATGCCTGACACATATAGAGGTTCAAGAAATATTTGTTGAGTAAATTATAATCACCATTAATGCAACATGATTTCAGTATGTTAAAATGAAAAAAATAAAACAAATTAAAAAGATTTATTTGGGTCATTCACCTTTATATAGACCTCTGAATATGATGTCCCCAAAATTATCTGCCAGTAGCTCTGAAGACCTAAAAAAGTTGAGACACAAATTAATATAGAAAGAAATGACACTGATAGACACAGAATAGAATTCTATAAATATATTAATGTCAACTTAGTATCATTTCTGTATACTACCTTGTTTGCCATCCTATATTCCATCTAGTACTAAATTTTTGTACTTCAAGTTTTTATTTTCCTATACAGCCAGAAATTAAATAAAGGGCGAGGAAGGAAATTATCTGACTTTAAAAATGGTAAATTTGTATATGTCATTGGCTAATTCTTCCCTTATTTTCAAATTAGAAGTCTCTCCCATTTCTCAAGGGATTCCTTCTTTCTCTCTCCCACAAGGTGCTTCTCTTCTCCACTACACCTTTCCCAAAATCGGAGGCTTTTCTTTAATCAAATGTCAAATTTACTCTCCAGTCAGACAAGGGCCTCTATCATCTGTTAAATTACAAGTCCCTATTACTCCTTTCTTCCCCCTCACTCCATGCCATCTCTTCTTTTGTCCTACTATAAAAAAAGAGCAATAAAAGAGAGTCTGTTCTATCTGTAGTCAACTCCATAATGAAAACGACATTAAAAAAAAAAGGGAGCTTAAATTAATTCTCTACCCTCTAAAAAGAAAAGGAAAATAGATCACCCAGGACTTTGGGAGGAAAATGATCAGTACTCAATACCCCTTTTCAGTATTTTCTCCAAAAGTCAAATTTAACATTAGCCAAAATAAGTTATTAACACCTGAAAAGTTAATACAGCATCAACACAAAAAGAGCTGTTCATGGGATTCCAGTTACCAAGTATTAGAACACATGCACGTTATGTTGAAATTTCAATTTCCAATTTTTAAAAAACTGGAAAATATCACTATTCTTTACAAACTTTTTAAAAGAGCATATCCAGAATTACTATAAAAACAAAAAGTATCAAGGTCACAATACAAGGAAGAAATAAAATAAAGCAAGGAAATACCAAAAGCATATAAGAAAGAAGGAAAAAGGCCAGGAAGAAAAAAAAAAAAAAAAAGCACGTGAGGGTACAGTGGGGGAAAACGAATGCAAAAAAAATTTCTATTTCTTATTAATTTAATTATTTCCAGAACAATGCAACAGAATCCACAGAGCACTAGTAAGTTCTTGTATTCTGAAAGAGAACCAGACTGTCGTCCAGTACTGAGTACTTGTCTGAGGAATTATCATTTATTTACATACGGTTTCTAGGGAAAAGGACATTAAATAGAATATGCCAGCAATTTTTTAAATTACCCTGTCTTTTGAATTGGGTTCAGAAATGGCCAAGACTCTGTATTATCATTCTGACAGTCTCTTCACTATATGATTTGCTGAAAGTACAAAACCTCTATGATCTGCCTGGTCACTCTCAGAGAAGACAAAAAAAAAAGTGTTTGAAGAACAATTCCACAGAGATTTCAGAAGAAGAAATTGCATCAGACAGGTGAGCCGGAAGCAGCTGGGAGACAAGAGTCCAATAAACAGCCAATCCAGTGAAAGAAATTCAGAACAAGTCTGCTTCAGTAATCCCGTGAAGAGGACTGGCAGGAAGAGGAGTGCCGCTTCAGAAAGAGAACAGGCCTCATATGCTTCAGACAGTCTTTGTACTGAGGCTGTGGACCTTGGCCATTCTCCCAGAAATGATGCAATCCTGATGAACAAGATCTGCTGCCAGAGAAACAATTGTTAACAGCCTATGCAGACAGCAACTCGGCCAAGGAGCAATCTCTGATCAACTCTCCACAAACCACCAGAACGCCAAATCTCTCTTCCTCAATTTCAGTGTCTGACAAAACATAAAGTCAACACAGTATACGTTTAGATATATAAGAACAAGCTATTTTCTCAAAATGTCCTTTTGCTTTTAATTTCTTTGGCTTTACATTACCTATCTTCATCATTACACTTTAAATAAAAGAGCATTTTTACTTTCATAAATTTTAATTCCCCAAGCATATTAACAGTAAAGTACTTATATAAATTTAAAAATTGGGCAACCCCTTAAGGTCCCCTCCCACTATGGGAGCTCTTCTGTCCTTTCAATAAATCCTGCTTTCAAAAAAAAATTTTTTTTAATTTATACTTATTTTTCTCACTCTCATAAGAAAAACTTTTTGGGAAGTAATGACTTCCTGTTACCTTAAGCATGAAAATCACTCTGAAATCTACTACCCAATTATGAGATTTCAAAGTAAAGACAAATATGCAGACTCACTAATTCAGGGACAGAAGGTATATATTTTACAGACATTTTTGAAATTATATAAAACTCAGTATGTTAAACATTGGCATCTATCGGAGAAAAAAGCAAAAATCTATTCTTGCTTAGGCTGACACAGAAGGAGTATCATCTCACAATGTTACAAGTCCCACTTTTCTGAAAGGCAACAATATCACTTCAAATCTTTCCAGGGGGTTATTCGTTGTTTTCATCTTATTAGCCACAATTTACTAACTTTGAATGTAATTTATAAATATCTTCAATTTAATAATCCTCCCAAGAATCCTCAACTCCTATGCCTTGTTTCTTTTTCAGAAGTTTTGGTGTCAGGTTTTTCACACAGTGTTGTTATAAAATTACAAGAAATTTTTTTCTCACTTAGTAAATAAAAAAATCCTGCATACAACAAATCTCAGTTCGCTAAATTCCAAACTAGCCATAAGCCACAAATGACCAAACTTTTTCCTTTGAAAAACAATAACCTTTAAACTAAGATTCATGAAAAAAAAATAAACAACTAAAATATATTCTGAAATCAATACATTCAGCCCAATCTACTGCTCTTGTATTTATACTAAACTGAAAATTAGTAGATACATAGAATAGCTCTGAAGCACTTAAAAAAAGTTGCTAAGTCAATAAATACATAAATAAATACATTTAATTAAGAAAAAAATTTCAGAAAAAAATTTCAACAAGGGTTAAAATAGCTAATAATTTTAAGATTCCACTTCTGAACCTGGTTATTTAAAATTCTGTTATATATCTAAGATGAATTTCTTATTAAATATTTCTAGACTACTTCAATTTCTTGTTTGAATGACTTTACAAAATAGTAAAAAGAAGAAATAACATTAGAAGGTTTTTTGGTATGATAATTTTTACTCTCAACTTAATTTTTTTTTTAATGACAATCTGGCCAGATCTGACAAGAAGTGGGGGAAAAAATCAAATTTGTCAAGGACTATTTGAAATAGGCATTGCATTCATTATAATAATAAACCTTTCCCTACCTGTGCCTTGAGATACTAATGATAATTGACAAGAATTAAAATATGTTGTTCTTATTCTAATTTTATTATTTTTATACTTTAGTGTTTCATAAAATACTTAATATATTAGTAAAGTGGTGCATTGCTGGAGACCAGCTCCAGCCGGGTTCAGGGTACCACAAAGGTGGAGACGGCGTCGGCGATTGGGGGGAAGAAGAAAGAGAGAGAGAGAGAAAGAGACTGGATCCCTGTCTAGTGCAGAAGCCCAATTTTTTTTTTTTTTTAAGAGGCAAGTACTTGCACTATCACCCAGGCAGTGGCACAATCACAGCCCACTGCAGTCTTGAACTCCTGGGCTCAAGTAATCTCCTGACTCAGTCTCCAGACTAACTGGGACTATAGGTATGTGCCACTACGCCTGGCTAATTAAAAAATCTTTTTTGAAAGGAGTCTCGCTGTGTTCCCTGGGCTGGTCACAAACGTCCCCCCAGCCTCAATCACCCAAAGTGCAAGATTATAGGCATGAACCATTGTGCCCAGCTCTCTTCAACTTCATTTTATAAATCACAGGTCAGTCCACAATGCAATAAATTTGACAGCATTTTATCTAGATGACCAAATTGTTTGAGAACTAAAGTGGCAGCTGTATTATATGCTTGTCTTCCACCTCCAACTCAAACGCAAACATCTCCAATAAAAACAATGCAGTTGTACCACGACATACATAGCTTTTCACCTTAGGCAAAGCAAAGTATGTTAGTCTGGCACAGTGGTTCAAGCCTGTAATCCCAGCATTTTGGGAGACCGAGGTGAGAGGATTGCCTGACCTCAGGTGTTCAAGACCAGCCTGGGCAACTCGGTAGACCTCATCTCTACAATAAAAAATAAAAAAATAAGCGGGGAGTGGTAGTGTGTGCCTGTAGTTCCAGCTACCTGGAAGGCTGAGGTGGAACGACTGCCTGAGCACAGTAGGTCAAGGTGCAGTGGCCGTGAGCATGCTGCTGCACTCCAGCCTGGGCAACAGAGTGAGACTATGATTAAAAAAAAAAAGAGGCCGGGCTCGGGGGCTCAGCCTGTAATCCCAGCGCTTTGGGAGGCCGAGGTGAGTGGATTGCCTGAGCCCGTGGGTTCGAGACCCGCCTGGGGAACTTGACAAGACCTCATTTCTACAATAAAACAAAAAATTAGGTAGGCGTGGTAGCACGCCTGTAGTTCCAGCTACTTGAAAGGCTGAGGCGGAAGGATCGCTGGAGCCCTGCAGGTCGAGGCTGCAGTGGCCGTGAGCGGCCACTTCACTCCAGTCTGGGTGATAGAGTGAGACCCCAACTCAAAAAAAACAAAGAGAGAGAGAGAAACTTGATTTCTAGCTTACAATTTAAGTAGTTTAGTAACGTCAGAAAAACCACTTGACATAGATGAGCCCTAAATTCTTCAAAGTAAAATCTGCATTGTGTTTCTTCCTGCTCCAAATCTCTCTTCTATGAATCCTGGCACTGCTGCCAGCTGGCTTGGGCAATTTATACGATGCCTCAAAGTCTCAGTTTTCTCATCTGTACAATAGAAAGAACAACACCTTTTTGATTTTTTGGAGAAAAGTCTGCTTGACTCACAGATGATCACGAACTAGTTTTTATAGCAAATAAGAGTTTAAATGGCTCTTTGGTCCCTTTAAGTATATGTGAAGAAACGAGCAGCTGCTGCTAATAACCTTAATATTGCTAAAAACTATTTTCTCTTTTCTCCAACAGCATGTATTTCAGTTTTGCTGTAGCAGATAATGTGGAAAGAAAAATGTGGGA